CTAGCCTCTTTGTCCTGCGCGATCCCTGAGACATTCTCGCCCTTTTCGACCGACCTTTTTTTATGTCTCCATTATTGCCGAAATTCTTTTGATTTCTGGCGGCCATTTCGTCAGTTCCACATCATCGAACTTTGCATTTGCACTCGCTGGGTGTGTTTTATTTCAGCTTGTTTAGTTCACTCGCCTATTTGGTTTCTCCATCTCGATCGACTCCGTCAAACAACATGGATTAAGCTAAATGTAAAAAGTCTACTTGGTTTACAATCTCGTTCATTTGGCTTATTCTGACCACCCATGTTTGATGGATGTTTACTTCGTATATGATTTCGGCATGATTTCTATTTTACGAGTACTTAAATTATTATTATTATTATAATTTCTGCTTCTCCCCTCACGTTACTGTACTTATCACACAAAGGAGAAATATAGTTCGACATATGAGTAAAATGGGGGGAAACTCTCGCCCTAAAGAAGCGATCTTCATCTTGAACTTTTCATCTTTTCTTGGAACCAGCCACATGGCAGGCAATACCGGTTCTCCGCTGATTTTCAAACTTTGGACAGGTCCGTGATTAGCAAGCTGCGCCTCTGTCATGCGCCGGCAGCTGCAACTGACAAACACTCACGTAAGAAAGGGGTGTCTGTTGGAAACCAAGGTTGGTCGTAGTTATTTGTCTCTCACATTATGATTATGGTTATGATTACCTCAAGTGGGTTTTCGGTTTGTTACCCGGTCTCAATGCTCATCAATTAAGCCATTCTCATGATTTGTTCATAACGTCCATCTTAAGAACGGACCTGGCAAGATTGTTTTGTTTCCGTTCCTAAACATGTCCCTTGCCCATACGACCGCATAACATACAAAACTAAGGATGGTGAATTACGGAAACGTGTAGTCAAAGGTATTTCGCTTGCTTGTGTCTAATTTCCCCAGGTTTTTGTTCTACCCAGAAACAGTAAGGGTGGCCTTGTAGGGTGGTGTAAGACGAACCAAGAACAGGGCAGCTGGTGGAAACACGCCGAGAAAACGGGGTCTGCTAATATCACTACCGATTTATTTTTAATATTGTTTTCGTAGTTTTTTTTTTATATTCATACGCTTTCTTTCATTCTCCCTCTCCTTCTTTCCTATATTCTATGAATTCTCTCTCTCTCTCTCTCTCTCTCTCTCTCTCTTTATGCATTTCCTTACGACCTTTGAACCGAGAGTATCTTTACCCGTTACTCGTCCTAAACATGAGTTCTTCGACAGTTTGCTCTGACAGCCCTATTTTCTCGGGCCTGCTTCTTCTTAGTCGGCTCCACTTGGTCGCCCTTTTGACGATTTCAGCCTTTTCAGCGCTTCAGCTCTTTTTTTTTTTTTTTTTTTTTTTTTTTTTGGCTGCTACACTTTATCCCTTTCCAGACAACTGCAGCACCCCCTGCATTTGCGGCTTGCCCCACGGCCGGAGATCTTGCTTCAAGTAGAGATGGGCTGATGACTTTAATGCTTTGCAACAGGAATCATGAAACAGCGACGTGCTTTTCTTCTTCTCGGTTGTTCTTCCGAAAGAAGAAAGGAAATATGAGTCGACGAACAATATCTATGCTGAAAAAATCAACAACAAAAAGAAAATCGCCCATCCAAGATACTAGTAGGATCGTGCCGTTAGAAAATATGCCATGTCGTAGACACCAAATGCTTCGGGACTTGTGTGCGGGCTCATGTTAATACCAAATAGAGCAAAGATCATCAAACTTTTGAGTTTGAATGACACTGCCGCCGGCATTGACCCCGACATCAAGGGCCACCGCTGTCTTTGTGTCCGCATAAAAGTGCAATCTTTGCTATTCCATGTTTATTTCGTTCTCAACGACGTACAGTGAGAATGATCTCCGCCCATAATTCGTATCCCCTCTTCGTTTCTTTCCTTTACCTCATAGCCCACATGACCCATTTCGTGCAGCACCTCTGGGGCACAGAATCTGGAAATTGGGCTCTCCCAAACGAGTCTGATAAAAAAAAGGCCCGTGGTTGCTTCGTCATGTTGCGTTACAACGGTCGTTATTTTTGACGTCAAAAAAGGGATAGCCAGAAGCGGCACAGAAAAGATGGGGTAATGCTTCTCGCGTATGCATTTGGCTTGTCATGAAATCGGAAGAAAAGCAATATTTCCCCCTCCACGCGCCGCTTTCAGGCACGATGCCGTAGTCGAGACAAGGGGTGTAAAGAATCGGCTGCAGGACAAAAACGCGGAGAAAAGCGACCAAAGAAAAAGCGTTTGAATCAGCCAACCGAAATTAAAGCAATATTTTCGGGAGCAAGAGGTGAATATTGGAGGTCGCGGACAGCAGTGCAGACTGCAAGGCGGGAAGTGCCCGACACGGCAGAAACATACACCAAAGAGTACTCCGTACAGTACAGCACAAAGTACGGGGTGCAGCTTGCAGTGTGCAGAGCGGTCCAAGCTTCCGAAGGCAGAGCGGGACAACTGAGAACAAGTGTGGAAATGAAAAACCGTCACGAGAAGGAAAAAAAGAGAAGGTAGACGCGGAAACGGTGAAAAGCAGGAGTTGAAAACCGATTCAGCATTGGAGACAGGCTGGAGACAGGCTGGAGACACCTGCAAGTGCGGCAGACGGCTGCAAAGACGGCACAAAATGAAGAAAAGCACAACCAAGTGAACCGAAAAGAACGAGACACGGCAGGAGATGGACATGCGTGCTGTATGTGTAATGGTTACGTCGTGCACACAGAGTGTATCCGCATCTTGCAACACAGCCTGTTGTTGTCAGATAGACACCGGGCAGCCAGTCCGACAGTGATGTTGACTCTCTTTCTTTGTCCATCCGGATATTTCGTTTTTCGATTGGACAACGCGACACATTGACGAGACGGGTCGACCGGAGGACTACTCTGTGTTTGTCTCCCCTAGCCGGCAAGGCAACTTAAGGTGGACGATCTCCATAGCTCTGACTGGTAAGATAATTGCGCAACGGCAGCCGAAAAGGCCCTGTCTTGCCCACCAAAAGCCCGCAACAGCCCCGTCGCAAATCCCGTGCTTCCGGTAAGTTTTCAATTTTTTGGCTGCATTTTGCAGTCTGGTGTCTTTCTTTGCCCAGTTGTCTTATTACACCAAAAGATGAGCCACAGGACCAACCCCGAACCAGGCTTTCAGCAGGTAGTGGCAAGGTCTTTCTGCAGAGTGGGATGCCGATCAACACCAGCCTCGTCATGGTGATGTGCTCACATCGTACGTTTTGTCCTTTTTTGTCTGCATTTCATATTTCTTCTTCTTTTCGATCGTCCTCTTTCCCGCTCTCAATGCCACCTGCTGCTTCGGTTCTCATTTCCATTTGCCTTCTTTTTATGGATCAAAAGGCGGGGTGCATGAGAATGAGCCGTCCTCGCCTCTTTTTTGCAAGATTGTACATTCTGCGTGGCAGGGAGGGACGGCTGGTGATGCAAGAAGTAGGAAGATGCAGGCCCCTTGCCTTCCATATTGAGACAAACATCGCAACTTGAGTGTGTGAAGGAGGTGTATGTTTTGTGTGTGTGTGTGTGCCTGTTTTGATTCCTCTTGCCTCCTCTTGCCTCCTTTTGTCTCCTTTTGTCTCCTCATGACTCCGCGTTCCGTAGATGCACTCCATTTGTGTTTGAGCGTCTGCAGCTACGGCTGGCTGCACACCATGCTGGGGCCTCCTTGTTCTGATGCCAAGACACACTTCTCGACCAGTTGTGCTGGCTGAGAGAGAAGAAAAGACTGAGAAAAATGGAGTATTGCAGAGGACGCTGATGGCCCAATGGTACTAGAGTTTGTAGGGTGGGAGGGAATATGCAGTGGCGGAACATTAGTGCTCTCACTGAAATTTTTCGCCCTTGCTATCACCGCGGCGGTTGAGTGATGGGCTCGCCCTTGTATGGCCAGAAGCGTCTGTTGACGAGTTTGTTGACAATGTATATTGTATGCTGACAATGTTTGTTGCTTTGGTTGCCCGGGACAAATGCCTGGATATAAAGAATGGCCTGTAATTGATTGCTTTGAAGGCGGGAAATGCAGCCCGGCGTGAGAGGCAAAGCCGGTTTGATTGCACCGTTTCCGCAGAGTCTGGCTAAAGAACAGCGTCGTGGATAGAGTACTACGGCGCTTGCATGCGGTGAGAACAGAGCAAAGAAGTCCACAACAGCAGAGAGACGCAGACGGCTTCACCCCCGCGGCCAGGCCATGCCATGCAGCAACGGCACAGAGGGAGCGTCCGTGCGTCGAGAAGGAAAATACGGAGGAGAGAAGGCGCAAAGACGACAAGCACTGAACAACTCAGGAGCGGCAAGGGCATCATTGGCCAGTAGGCGTGGATGGTTCATGTCGAGAGTAATTGTCGTAAAGGGTGCCGTCGTTGAGTTGCTGACTTGCAGGTGTTGCAGGACCGTATCACATTCCACTCGCTGTCGAGGGTGTCCCAGTCCCCAAGCCAGTCTTGATATCGTGGATTGCGCAAGGTGCCATCTGCAAGGTCGCCAATGATCCGCGGAGCTGAGATTCTGCTATCGTCGCCCTTTTGTTCCATTCTGTGCTTCTGCCGTCACCACTGCCGGCGCTCAGACGAGGATCTTCCCCTCAGCGCAGAAACGGGGGCATTTGCACGACGAGTCCGGCATCTCACTTTCGACAGGCGGGAAATGATCAGATCGTAGAAACAGAGAAGGGGAAAAAGACAGCACTAACAACATCAACATTTCGGAACATGACCACAGGTTTATGTCGTACTACTATTGAAATAGAGTCGACTTGGGGGAAGGCGCGGCCTGGCGCTGAGACAAGTGCTGCACTGTTCGCTGCACTTCTGGAGCACTTGCCTCTGCAGGGGTTCCCATTGTGCTTCGCATCAGGCTTTCGTTGTAAGGAAAGGGCCAGCCAATACTGTTGTTTGGTTGTCACCGCATCGACCTTTCCAATTGTGGTATTGCCGGTCCTTCCTTCCGTATCTGGCAGCAGCCCACCGCGCGTTTTGGAGCCAAACTAAGCTTCGCGTGAGGTGTTTGCCAGAAGAAGGCACGCTCTGGCAGCTGCTCTTTCCCAATCCTGCTGCCAGGCAAGAACGAGCAAATAGAGAGACAGGCCCGCTCGACTCTTCGTATCCACATCTTCCATTGCACCTTCCAGAAGGTTGTTACAGTTATTGCGTGGTTCAAAGGTGATACCCATGCTTCCTGCCGTTGTTACTTGATGGCCGCGCTTGCCTATCAGGTCCTTCTCTGCCCATTTCATGTCGATCTTTACCAAGTGCCAGCTTGCACTCTCCAACTTCTTTTCTTACCATTTTATTTTGATGCCTCCACCATCTTCGAACACGCTCCCCTTTCACGTACACATCCCCTGGACACGCACAACTACCGCCGCTTGCGACTTGCGCTGACCTCGTTCGGTTCCCTTGTGTTGCACTTGCGCTCGTCCTCGTGCAGAACATCGAGGGCATCCGTTCCTTTGTTGACCAGAGTTTGGTTCTCAACCCAACCTCCCTGCCATGTTACTTGTCTTTCCTCTCCACCACTACTTACAATATCTATCAGTACAAATCAAGCTTGCTGCATGCTTCAAATGTCAAAGTGGCTGACCATTGTCAGAGCACAACCACTCTTGAAGGCTACATAGCGCAATGATTGAGCGCTAGAGATATGCTTAGACCTGCCTCGATTCTCGTCATTTTCCTTTTTTTGTGGTTCTGTCCAGTCCTAGCAAGATCTTGGCAAAGCTTTTGAAGGGCCCCCTCCATTCTCAAGCCACTCATGTGCGGCACTCTGCCCTTTCAAACTCGTTTTCTTTCGTTCTTCTCCGCCAGTTCGTGACTTTTCCCTATCCAAACTCTCACGTTTCTTGGTTGATGCGGGGGATCAAGGATGGCAAGGGTCGTTGTTTGTCTCGCCCGCCACGCTGTGCCGCCGTTTTGTGTTCTTCAGTCTGCCTGTCGCACTTGCTTCCAGCAGAGGCCGCTTTGATTTGTGACTACTGTGATGCTTCATCCACAGCCATTTCGTCTTAGCCTTACCATCCCAGCCTCTAGTGTACCACGACTTGTTTTCTGGCGGAGTCAACTACCAGACCATCCTCGACGAACAACCAGCCACTTCCTGATCAAACTGAAGAAGGACCACGCAAACACCAGAACAAGCACAGACCTACGATGTACACAAATGGCTTCTGCCACGCCGGAGACGGTAAAGTGGCTCTTATTTTCGACGTCTGATGATCTGTTTGCCCATCCACTTTGCGTTGTCGAGTGCCCAGTCAAAAACGTCCTACCCCTGTCGCAAATACAAGGTTGTGCTGCAGAGCACTGACATCCTCCCGCTCTTGCAGGAACAGTGGCTGTTCTTGCACGTCGCTGTCGCCATCGACTCCTCCCTGATGTACACAGTAAGTCTTAGTGTCATGACTACGGAGGTACGCGTCCGCATGGCACAGAATTTTAGCGCTGTCTATTCTCTTTACTGCCAAATGTGCTGAACAGCATTTGTGCAGCCCGAGAGAGCTCGAATTTTATCAGAGAAACATACAAGTGCTTCAGTGGGCGCCCTTGTTTTCACTTTACACAGAGAGGCATAGGAAAACAACGACACAGGCCCAAGGCCCGTTTCGCTCTTGTCCTTGTGCTCTGGCTATGCTGTGCCGTTTGTGCAAAGGCCCGGACCTTCCGAAGCCTGACAGCAGCGGTCCGCCCTCGTGTGAGACGGGAGAAGCCGAATCCTGGTCTGCTTTGTCCACCCAAAACCGAAACGGACCAACTTGTGCGGGACGTCCTCCCATTTCGTCCCAATATGGATGCGCCTCCTTCGGTTGGAGGTGCACTTGTTCCTCGCATGGCACGACCCGTTGCCTCAAATCTCCCACATCTCTTATCTACCACCCGCCGACCGGGTGCAGCTTGTGGCGGCCGAGGAAACATGCTGCGGCCTGCTGCTGCGGCCTTCTGCTGCGGCCCTTGAACAGTGCAGCAACGCAAACGGCATCTTGCCGTGCAATATGTTCTAGGAGTATGGTCAATGCCGTTTATCACCAGCCGCCAGTAACCTACCACCGCCACCCGCTGCATGGCACCCTGCAGGCCTGTCTGCACGCGGAGCAGCGTCGAACGCCATACGAGCTGTTCGTCTGCTTGGCTCCGCTATCTTGTTTTGTCCATGCATTCTCTTCACCACATTTGCATCTATTTTCTTCCATTTTTTCGTCCTTTCCGCGGTTTTCACCGGTTTTTCTCTCAGGGTCGTGGAGACGCTCTGTAATCGACGGTTTCCGAGCCTGCAATAATTTCAGTGCTGCCACTGTGTGTGTAGTTTTTCTACACTTGTTGGCTGGGCACTGTTTTGTCTTCAGCTGCGAGTTAAAGCGCATGTGTTGCTCCAGTGTCGCACCTACAACCCTATGGGTGCTGGAGACAGACAAACCTGTTAGCGCACTCTTCCCCCCCCCGTCCCTTTCTGGTCACACTGCCATCATTTCTGCACGCTGTGCCGTGGCACCCCACACACGCTGTGGATTTTCTGCGTCTGCTGTGTTTTCTGATCACACCGCTTTCAAGTCACTTCAGGTGGTGTGAGTGGATGCTGCAACGCAACAGAATTTCTGCGAATGGGAGACCTTGGATCTGAAACTGCACCGAAACTGTCGACATCGGAGCGAGACTAACATGAAGGGTGGCAAGTTCCGACAACATTTGTTGCTGTTGTGCAAAGTCGACCTGGCCTGTGGAGCCTTGCTTCGTCTCGTTCGCCTGGTTTCTTCTTTCACACCGGCTCTGCTTGCAACCACAGCGAAATATCATGTTAAGCCAGCGCCTTGCTTACAAGTTTTGACAACTTAGAAAGGTATTGTCACTAGCTGTCCGGCCTCGTCCTTATACCTCTTGCTACCTCTTCTGCCGCCGTGGCAATTGCAACGCCAGGTACTTGGGGCCTTTGCACACATTCGTGTCCCGTGTCTATGCAATGTCTGGCGAATCTGGCCATCGCGAGTTCTATTTACATGCATAAGGAGGAGGCGTGGCGAAGAAGTAAACGACGTGCAGGAAGGAAAGATGAAAATGTAACACGCTTTGTCTATTTGTTTTCTCTAGAAAAGGGGGTGGGGTTATTATTGTCAGACACTTCTTTGGCAATCAGTACTGAGCATCTGCAGTTGCTGTCAGGGTTCAGCAAAGACCTTGAAAATTCGACGAACCAAACTACGGGTGCCTCTTTGACCTCCAACGTTTTTGTTCTCCTTTTTCGTTTTCTTTCTCGCTCTCACTCGCTCTCTCTCTCTTGTCCCGATTTACTTGGTGGGAGAGGGGTTGTGTCCTGCCTCCTTTCGGATATGCTCGAGCGTCTGCGGCCTGCGAAAGGCTGGCCTCGCCGGTCGCCCACCTCCTATTTTGTCCCAGACCCTGGCGACCACGCGGCCACACGTTCCTTGCAAATATCGTGATGGCCAAACACAAAACGATCCAGAAAACAGGGAAACTCGAAAAATCTCGACGAACGCATGCAGTCGTGATATAATCCGATGCATTATAGGCCCGTTCGTCTCGCAGGTGCCTTCACTCCGCACTTGGCTGGGACGGGAGGCGGGATGCAGTGTCAATCTGGGGAAAGCAGTCGCTTTAATCCGAATTCTATTAAGTAATAGTCGGGTACTTTTCACTTGCCATAATGGTTGTCAACTCGGTAAGAACGGAACCCACACGGGATAGCCTTTGACAGCGAACCCCAAATTACATCGTACGACTGTTGTTCCCGAACTTCCATCTACGTCGTCCATTTATGGTCGTCAAATCCAACACCAAATTCCACAGAGGCCAGTGAGCAAAGGTTTAAAAAGCACGGTGGGTGATACTCAACTATTCGGCAACGCCCAGTACGACAGTGCTTTTAAACAACATGCCCACAGGTGAGCTAGACGATTGTCCGAACATTACAGTGCAATTACGACGTACGCAAAAGCATGCATTGATATGCCGGTTGGCCTGGCCTTGATTTTCGGCCTCGAGGGTGCGCTACAACAGTTTCTTGTTTTGTTCAGACTGGGGAGTGGGTCCATGAGAGGGTTTCTCTTGACCTTCGAGAAGCTGGAAAAGAAGAAACCTAACCTATTTCCCGACTGGCAGAAGGCAAGGGAGTAGGGGGAAGAGGGGGATTGAGGGGAAAGAGAGTACGGGGGAAGAGACTGGCAGAAGTTGATTTCGTCGTTTGAAGTCCCCTCTTTCATATCCATGCGCGATAGTCGCTTGACCGGGGGAGTGAGGACAAATACGACAAGAAAAAAGCATGTCAAAGCATGTCTAAGCAAAGACTAGGTGCAAAAAGAGGCAAGTCGCAAAAAGCCTCCGATGCAGGTGAGGAATGGGGTAACGAGATTGACAGGGCCTAGTCTTGCAGGACAGTGCCATTTTTGGCAAAGCTAGGACTTTGTTCAAAATCAACAATAAAGCATGCTATACAGGGTTTTGTCCTTTTCTTATTTTTCTTAATTCCCCTCCCGCAACACAAAGCACGAGAAAGGATGAAAATTCTGTTTATGCAGATCGCATGCAGACGCGGCACAGAGTCACAGAGTGTATGAATAAGGGATGCGAAATGAACGATCAGCTGGCCATGAGGCAAGTAACGAAGAATAAAAAGGCGGTCTCCAAGCGGTCTCAAAAGATGTATTGCCCCGCAAAGAGACACTACTGCAGCAGAGTTTGCAAAAGCAACGACGGCACAGATGGAAAACGAAAAGACAAAAGGACAAAGAGGGCAACGCAAAGGATGGGGGCATCGCGCGGGATGAGCAGACCGCCCTGGTTTTACGTCGCATGCTGTCTGCTTGATGTGCTTGCATCGTCTCGGCGCACTTGGCGAGTGCAACATGTTCCTGCAACTGGCAGCGTGTATGCTCGTCTGTTGGACAGCTATGCAGGTACACGGTGTAGCTGTCGCTGTGTCATGCTTTTGCCTGACTGCCCATGGACAAGAGTTCAGCAGGCAGGATGCCAATTGTCGATGTGTGTGTCTGCCGGCTTCCGATCACTTGGCAGATATATGGCGGCCGACATATCCTCATTTCTGATTGTGTCGCTCTTCTTGTACGTCTTGTCCTCGTACATCACGCAACAGACGCGATTGCCGACCGGAGGCTCGCCTCGTGCCGTTGCGGCGGCAGAGCTTTGTTGCCCGTTTTTCGTTTCCTTTTATTTCTATAAACGTCTGTCGGGACAGGCCTTGTGCATCTAACCCGTCTGTTGGGAACAGCAATGACGAATCGAGCAACCAGCGCTCACCAGTTTTGGTTCGGTGTCCTACCAACACGGTAGTGGCTCAACTCGAAGAAGATAAAGGAGTCGAAGGCCGCCGGTTTGGACACAAAGCGGCAAGGATTTTCCTTTGTTTCGTCCTTTTTTTCTTTTTGTTATCGAGCTGTCCGTTCTCTGGTTCGCATGGTCTTCTCCACAAATTGCGCACGACCTCGATGCGACTTAATTCAAGCTTGTTACGTTAGTGGCAGTCTGAACAACGAGAGGAAAAAAAAAAAAGAACAGCAAGAACAAATGTGCGACCCCGGAGATGCTGAGCAAAGGCTTGACCGTCAAGACACTAAAACGAACTCCGTACGACGCCTCACAAAATGGGCACAGCTAAGTTGTAGCGGCACGGGTGGGGTCTGTTTCTCCTCTGCAACACTCCCAATAGAGCCAAGCGTGATATTCTGTATATGTACGCTCATACGTTTTTTTTTCGTACATACACATGTATTACATCGTATGGGAGACAAGGGGGTACCCTGCTCGCGGCGTGCCGTCCATTGCTTGCGCACGGCCAGAGACAGTGACAAAATAGAGATCAAGACGATGTTACGCTGCTCCACACCGCTGAAGGAAAAGGGACCAGGGTGGTGAGGGGGAGTGCATGGGAGGTGGAAGACGGTCGCGATGGCAATTTGTGTGGCAGGTTGTGTGCGTCTGGCCCGTTGGCGCAAGCCTTGCAGCGTTGGCTGGCCTTGTTGATTGTTGACCGGTCGCAAGACTGGCCCAGGCTTTGGTGAATGCTGGTTCATTGTAGTTCTTTTGTTAGCGTCTGTTCGTGGTCTGTTCTCTGTTCACTGTTGTCTGTTGTCTGTAAATCGTACTCTGTTCTCTGTTGAGGCTGTGATGGCCTCCTTTCTGTGATGACGAGCATTCGTGATGCGAAATCTCTCCGTTGCCTTTTGCCACAGAGTCCCCGTCATCGACTGCAGTTCGACGCGGGGTTGTAGTCTCATTCCGTCGTCGTTGTATCATCTGCTCTGCTTTCTATCCTTTCGAATTTTGCAATGTCCTTGTCCCTGGTATTCCTAGAACCATAAAGTTGTGCTCAGACGCAGAAATACATGTCGAGGCTTAAACGACTGCCATTCGTTTGCTATTCCATGTCCAGAAGGCCCGTCCAATGCCCTGTCCAGTTGGTGAGACATTCCCATGGCAGCCAGTTTCAACCTGCAACCTTCTTGTTGCTCTGTTGTTATCATCGCGCCTCCGCCTACTGCCACCTGATGGAATCTCCTCCAAGGTTTAGCACTGAACCACCGAGCTGCAAGCCATACACCGGCACTGCTTTGTGACAATGCTTTCTGTTTGATTTTCTGTATTTATCCCTTCCCCTCCCTCCTCTTATCTTGGAACCCCAACCCCTCTATTCTTCCTCCTCCTCCTCCTCCACATCTTACTACCCATCCCCTGTCCATATATGTCCTTCCCCAGTTGTCTTCCCCTCAAAATGGCCACTCAAACTGGCCTGGACCCTGTTCTTGTCGTTGCCAGCGCAAAAACGGAGTCTTGTTCTGTGCGCAACCAAAGTTTGCTACTGTTTGGTTGCATCTATGTAGACCCGTTCACCACGCAATCTAGACTGTCCTTTCCAGTCTCTCTGGTTGGCCACTCAAGTGCTCTCATTGTCAGTCAACCCCAACCGCTCAGCTCAGCAATGCGAATTCCGCGCAAGGACCTTGTCTTCCCCTCTTTCCTCGTCCTGCCAGCCGCATTATCTCCCTTTGTGGTGATGATACAAAAGACTAATAACTAATACACCACCACCCTTTGCGACCCAGTCGCTGTCTTTCTCGCTCTTACAATGTCTCCCCCGTCGTCGTCCTTCCTTCGCGTCCTTCTTCCTCTCCACTTGAATAACGTGATTGATGATCAGCCGGCCAGATCCGCAAGGGCCGCTCTGACCAAAAAAAAAAAGAATAAAAAGAAAAAGAAAAAGAAAAAGAGAAAGAAAGACACGACTCCGTGTCTGACCGCACGTCGCCATCGTCACAACCCATGGCCTGTCGCCCGCAGTCCCGAGCCCACAACCCGAAGAGAGCGGTCATGGACATCTCAGTCCATCGGGCAACGGTGCCTGCCGCCAGGTTTCGTAGTCTGACCACGTCCGTACAACTGACAGCGGCGGGTAACCAAGCCAAAAACAGAATCAAAAGGCGCCCATGTTGCACAGCGCTTGTCGTATGTGAGGATGAGATAGACTCGTGTCGATCGCTGTACGATGATGCGCCTCATTAAACCGAGTACGCATGGAAGATACTCAACAGTGGCATTGCGTAAGAGTCGCCCTCCGGTTGCTTGTGTTATGACCATTTCCAGACCCGTTTCGACTCTGGTCCAATTTAGGTCTGTTTTTTGTCGTCTACTCTGCACGCCATTGTTGGTTTTACGAAGATAGTCAACAGACAATGGTCTGGAACGCCGGCAGGCATCGTCCGAGTATCTCTTTTGTTTGGAGAGAATGCTCTTGTACACGCTGTAAACGAAAAATGAAGAAGAATTGGGCAACATGTACGGATCAGACAGGCATGTCAGGACCAAGGACCCCTGGCTCTGGCTGCTGGCATGACGACAACACTGTATTCTTGTTCGACAACATGCCCAAGAATAAACGACGAAAACGAAAAAGAAAGAATGAACGAAAGAAAAGAAAAAAGAAAGATAGAAAAGAAAAGAAAAAAGCCGTTAGCCGTGCTCTGCAGCCGTTGACAAAACGGTAGGGGCTGTTTCTCTTTTTTTTGACAGGTCACTTTGTTGCCCTTGCCGTCTGGTCTAGTTTATGCGCGACGGCCCCGTACCGGTGTGTCGTTTGGGGATACATCGTGCATGTCTGTTGCTAATGTGCTGCTGATCCTGTGACGACGTGTGACGACATTCCTGTGTTCTTTTGGTATGATTCCATTACTTCGTAGATAGTCTCAATCGTCAGACGGTGCACATCTTGAACACGGCAGTTTTGTGATTTCATGTATCGTCCTACAAGTCTTTCTCTATTTTTCTTTTCCTTTCCTTCATGCCTGGATGACCGCAGATCGCGTCAGGTACCCTGGCCTAGCGCGCGAAGGTGTTGTCAAAAGATCAATGTACGAAGTATACGGAATATGGAGTATGCCTTCGATAGTAAAAGACAAAGACAACACGTACGACATACTTCGATGGCAAGCCTCATCAAGCAGGGCCAGCCAGGGCTCGCAGTCTGTCACATTCTGGTCACAGGTTGTCAATCAACCTATGCTCGAGTATTGCCTGCCTGTCGCCTATGTTGTTGTCAAGAAAGAAATGTGAAATTCTTTTTTTTTAGCAAAAAACTCCAAGTTACAAACATTTGCGAACATGTGAACCGAGCGCTGTGGACGCTGATGCAACCTGGATTGTGCCAGCGCGAAACCAGAGCTTGTTGCCAAACGCTCCTATTCTCAACATCCCCTTCGATGGCTTCAAAAAGTCCAGAAACAGACACTGTCCGTATGGGCTCCCAGCATAGCGCGCCATTGCACACCGTCGCTGTTCTCCACATGTACAGCGGAGCCAAAAACGGGACAATGTGGACCTGCGGAAATGTGGCGAGCGCCAGATGCAAAATATGTGCAAAAACGTGATAGCGTCGTGTTTTACTATTTTACTGTTTGACGAAGGGCATCGGCGCATCGGCGCGAGAAGGCCAAGCCACACCAGATGAACAAAATCCAAAACCCTCCACAAGACACATTTGCTGCGATCTAGAACGGCACGAGGCCGCGAAGAGGAGATGAAACTATCGAGGCCAAGACACCAGGCAACCCAAAAGCACACGAAGTGACGATACTAAACACTAGCCAGTCTGGTGTGGCTGACAGCGTGCCTTGGTGGCTATTTGGACGACATATGTCGTAATTACTCGTACGATGGACTCCGCACAGTGGTATTGCTAATGACGAGGAGAGGGGAACGTTGTAGGAACTATTGACGTTGGCAACGAGGTGAACATGAGACGAAGTCAAAGTGGGCTGTGGGCAACATGGTGTGAGGCCCGTGATTGTCCGCATGAACCGAAGTGATGTGGGTGTATCGAGTACGACGTTCTTGGAAGTGATTTCTTTTCTTGATGGCTGTTTGCCCCTTTCACCTGATCTTTTCTCAATCTTTTTTCTTTTTTATTCTTCTTTTTTCTTTCTTTCTTTCTTTCTGGTTTTTTTTTTTTAATAAAAAACACCATCTTCTTTCTCTTCATCGTCTCCATCTTTTTCCTCTTCATCTTTCCCGTTTTATCTTCGTGATTAAGTCACGACAATAAACTGCCTCCACAACGATCGCCACACAGAACACAAAAAGGGAGACTCCCGCCAAGAACCAATGTCTCTCACGCCAATCTCGTCTCGACGGCTGCCCCGATCGAGAGCAGCCCAAAGCGCCTTACTGCGTACACCGGAAAGCATTCCTTCTACCGTATGCTGTACGAATCATCGTCTTACCTATTCCAGCGCGCCGTGGAGGGTCGGCTAGCAGGCGCGGGGCGCCCGTCAAGTCCACGATGTTCGGAGCATTAGTATTGCACGGTGAATATGCACGTCGTAACGATTTCGTAATTCCTTCGTGCGCTTCATCATCCTAAAAGAGGAATCGTGAAACGCGGCAATGGCAGCAAACTAAGCAACCCCAGATGCTGTAAAGAGACCGGCAGGGGTGAGGGGGTTGCGTCGTGTGGGAGACATCGCTTCCGCTGTTTTTAGCATCTCCTCTTTGGCGTCTCCTTTTAGCATCTCCTAAGCATCACCTTAGCATCTCCTTAGCATCTCCCTGTGCATCTTTGTCATTCTTGGTCATCGTCTGACGCCGGTAATTGTGAGTGACAACGTCGCAATGGAGGGCAGACAGGGGGCCTGAGGAAGAAAGGATGCTGTTGGATGCAGTGAAGCAGTGATGCAGCCATGCAGTGATGCCGTTAGTTGCAGGTGGAGGGCGGAGCCTGGTCCCAGTGATACTGTGTAGTCGTGAGGCATGTTCAGCAGGCCTCTGAGGATTCCGCTAGTGGGCACACTATCCGGCGACGAGGTCGACAGGCAGAGGAATACGAGAGGGGGATGTGTAGTTGGAGACAGTCAGAAGTATGGAATGAAAATATACAAAATTGTGAGATCGAGAAAAGGGAGACAAATAGAAAGGACCTGAAAAAAAAAAAAACGTTTAATATAAAACAGACAAAGTCCTTGGAACTTATAAGGACGTACCTCGAGCCAAACATGACCACGATGATGACTAGAATCCGAACCAGAGGTCGAGCACGGCAGTCACTTCCCCGCACATGATCCAAAGGTCGAGTGGTGAGTGGTCTGTCGTAATACGATTACTCTGTCAAGTATTCCGTATGAACTCTGTCCATCGTCCGCTACGAAACGCGCACTCTTCCCACGACCGTTGATCCAACAGCGTTTCATTGCTAAATTTGGTGGTTGCTGCTGCGAGTGTGTGGACATCTCGGAGACAAGCCGCTGGATGTCCTCGTGCGTTGAGAGGCAGACGAGGCCAGGCCCTGTCGTTTCGACCCCTGCTCGCATGCCTCCCCTGTCCACACCTTTTCTCTTTACGGACGGCCAGTGATGGACAAGTACATGTACAGAGTACGAAGGTTCTATCCTGGCAAGCATTCTTTATTCCGTTTCGTCGACGGCTTTCCCCCTGGTCGGATCTGTTCCCCGGAATACGACGTGAATCGAACGCCACGAAGGATTGAGGGAGAAGGACAAAAAGAAATAAATGAAAAAAGAAAAAAGAAAAGAAAAAAGGAAAAAGAAAAGAAAAAAGGAAAAAAATAGCAGTGAGAGGCGCTGACGCTGTCCTCTGCAACGGAGGTTGGTGTTGGTGACAGCGATCTTTCCCTTTACTTTTCTTGCGCAACGAGCCGATACGAGAGACACCCCAGTCGTCCGTCCTCTCACCGAACAATCCGCTAGCAGAACACGGCGTACAATGCCGACCTCCGTCCTCCGAACATTGTATCGCGCAGCCATGCCTCCACGACCGGATCACTGCATATCGGGTCTTTTATTTTATTTTTTGTTTTATTTTTTGTTGACTGCCGTTGATCAATGTCCATTGAGCCTCATTAAGATGTGTTTAGAGTTGAATTCAAGCGTACAGGCGTACTTGAGATTGTGTCGTTGCCTTGGGAATTGATTGCACATGGGATGCATAAGCAAAGGACGTGAAGCACCTCCATAAAACACATCACACCCCTTTCAAATCCGTCGTTCTGCCGTTCTGCACCGCTCAGCACACACGGCACAGATGTGCACTACAGCATGCACACTGCATGAGTATATTGATACGAATGCGGAAAATGGCGGTCAGTGAGTGTGATGAAATAGGGGGACATCAAGAGGGTGTGAATGACTTGGTGTTGCACGTTTTCCAAAGAAAGAAAAGAAAGAAAAGAAAAAGAATACAGACTGGGCAGCAGTTTGGCAATCAGGAAGATGGTGGCTCATTTTGGTAAATAGGACTCTTGTATTTTTATTTTATTTGCTACCGGCAGCAAACAATGGCGTTTTCGAGATACAAAGCAAGCAACGATACTCCCGACAATGACCACAATTGCACCACATTTGCAAAACCTTTGTTTGGCAGGACAACAGCACTTCAGTCTCACGTCGTACATGGCGTTCCTGGCTACGATGCTGTGAAACAATGTTTTCGTTGTTCCTGTTATGTATCTTTGTGCCTGACGAGGCACGTGGCTGAGGAACAGTATCTCGGATGGGGCACACATTTCTCAGAGTGCATGACTGCCACGCAGTTACAATGTCTCCGGTGCCTCAATGTCTCAAACGCCACGGTGGCACGAACACGATGTATGTCTATATTGATTTGCCTTGGTCCCGTATTTTGATCAGCGATCGTGGTCCTCATCCGACGTCTCATTTGTTCGGGAGCCTGTCATGAACGGGTGCATCGTTTCGCTTGGCTATGATATGAGAAAATAGAACAAATACGAATCGATAAAAAGAACGTGATGGGCCATGTCCGCCGACCCGTCGTCTGCGGTCAACTGCAGACGTCGGGTGTCGTGCATCTCCATTCTCGCCTTTGTTATCTTTACTGTCACGGACGGCCGGACAACTTGCACGCCACCTCAATATTCCTTTTATCTCTTTGTCTCTTCTCGTTGGCTATTCTACGCACGGAATTATTCATGCGTTAGGAGGAAAGAGTCTTCTTTCACCTCCTCCGACAACATCGCCGGCGCCAGACGATGCTCACCTGGATTCGTCCGTTGGCTAGATTGTTATGTTTGGACGTACTTTCGTATCGTTTATTTCTTTCTTCTTTTTCTATTTTCTTTTCTTCCCCCTTATTTCAACAACCATTAGTGAACATTCGTGACTGTTCTGTGACAGTGTCTTCACATGAAATGTCGATCCAGCACACATCGACAAGACACGCCCCTTTGCATCCGGTTAGCAGGATATACTGATTGCGGATTAAATACATGTTCATGTCCAACACGCTTTCTATTTCGTGGTCCTGCTAGAAGAGAATGCGTCGATGCCATTATGCCATTTATTCCATCGACACCTTCGACACCATCGACACCATCGATGCCAACGACAATCGACACCATATTTGGTATTCATCTCCGTCATGCTCTGATTTTGAAGACCAAACGAACGACTAAAACCAGAGTGTGCCCGAGCCAGAGGCTGTGCATCAGATCTGATGCCATTTCTTGCTCGTCTCTTCCTTGTTATGGCATGAGATCGTCGGCGATGCGTTTGGGATCCATTTCGATGATGTTGTATCTTTGTTTTCTTTATTCCATATGACTTACACCCATCGCCCTTGTTCCCTCTGGCTCTCGCCATGCCAAGACTCTTACAAACTAATTGAAAGAAGGGGTAGATGTTTGGAGTTGTTTTATTCATTTTTCTATTCATTTTTTGCCCGCATATTTATGCATATTATTTTCTCATGATACACCCCTACTCGTACACCCGACCTCCACCGAAAAGTACTGGACGCCGTCTTGATACTCTGCTGTCTCAGTTGAGGACGTCGCCGTCAGGTGCAGGAAAGGACCATTGTCGGACGTTGATCTGGGCTCTTCATTGTCTTTGTGTGTTTGCGGCAATGCGTAGTTTTCAATAGCCTGTCGGCCATATCATATTGACGCAAGCCAATCTCCACACGAAAGCACCCTCACGGTCGCCGACGACAGGTACTTTTGAGACAAGCGTTCTGGACAGTCCCGACCGTCTGGATCGTTTTGAGACGGAATGCATCGGGGACTTTAGCCGCTTTCCTGTCCAAAGACAAGACATTGCCGCGAACGATGTCTTTCTTATTGTCGTGTCGATCCATCATGTGTTCTTGTCGTTCTGTTCTCTTCTCTTGCTCTCCATCACCACCCCCTTTCTTTCCGTCGTTTCTTTTGCCTCTTTTCAGTTCTTGTGTCTCCTAGACTGTTTGCTAGCCGCGATGCACGATGGAACGACTGAACAGCTGAAGCTGAAACTAGTTCGCCGTAGTGCCGTGGGCCTTTGGATGCCGTTTGCTATATCTTCATGCAGCTTCGTCAAAACAGCCTAGCCTGGCTCGCCTGGCTAGCCTTTACGTTAATCGGGCAGTAAACTGGGTCAATTCGACTAGATCACCAGGAGCGCCACAGGGTTGAGCACAAGGCGAATTGAGAAACGTGGTGGCCTTGTTCGCCATGCAAAATAGAAAAACAAAGTAGATGAAAGGGTCCAACGACGAAACAAACTGGGCAGACGCGAGAGAGCTAGGGCTGAGCAGAAGAGGACCGAGAAAAGGAGAAAAAAAAAGAAAGAGAAAAAGAGAATAAGAAAACTGGCTACGTCGTTCCCAGGCCCGGCCGAGCTTCGGATACGAGGTCGTCCGTCGCTGGACATCGTATGTCGTACGCCACCGGCGTCTGTCGAGAAAGTAGAATAAAATCCGAACAAGGCAAAACGACCGTTGTCGTCAACGCCACTCCGGGCCACTTCATGAAACCCCACGACCAGAATTCTACACATGTCCACAGCAGCCCGAATAACCCGACACATTGTTGTAGCCCTTTTCTGGGCCGTTGGGGTTGAGCGGCGCGGCGGCGGCTAGCTACATCTGGTCCTGTCCGTCGGGCCTCACCTCAGGCGCCCATTGTGCTGGTCTCGGGACAAGGCCGGACGGGGTTCGCTAGACTGCCACCATTCCAGGATTCCAGGAATCCGGCGCGTCATTTTCCAAGAAAGCATCTCTGTCTCCTCCGTCCATGACAATGCAAAAACCACAAACTGTCCGTCGTCACTCTCCTGCCAAGACATGGCCTCGTTTCCTGGCCCAGAAATCGGGTCTGGCTCACAAAGAAACCAACTTCGTCTACGACGTTCCTCCGTGGTGACGGATCCAATGATACTCGGACCGTCGCCAGGCATCTTACGAAATACGCTGCAGCAATTGACCGAAACGCCCTAGCCTGTGACAGTATTTGGCATCCTCCACACCTCGTTTGGTCTGTCTCGGCGTAATTTGTGCAATCGCGCGTTTTCTCTCTCTGGGGCTTCTTTCAGCTCAGTGGATCGGGGCTCTGTCAAGCATTGGCAGACAACAAAGATGGCACGAAGAGACGAATGTCGTCGATAATCCCTGTTACAAGCCAGGGGCATTACACACCATCTCCTTGTCGTGACGGTCGGCCTCGCTCACCCCTAACCGAATGCAGCCCTTCCCACCAATTTTTCAGCTCTCGAATCGGTGTGGGGTCCCAAGGGCCAGGAATGCCCCTGAATAAAAACTGTACAGAAGGACGTCGTACTTTGTACGAATTACGTATCCAACGACATACGCTGAATGGCCTCGGTTACGTGCCTACCGAGACGACGTATTTGCTAGTTTTGTTTCTCACCGAGGTGTGTCATGGTAGGAGTCCGTCGATGGGTAGCCTAGACACCCTGGCCAAGACGGTATACGGAGCTGGCGACAACATCGTTGGCATAATAGGGAGAAACGTGACCTGGCCAACGTCGTAGATGGCATACCGAGTGATCCGAAGAACTCATATTCGTTTATGATATCGGTAGCATGGCAAAAAATGATATTTTAATGATACCAGCATATTCGAATAAAATAAATACCGAACAAAAGGAACAAAGAGCGACCGATGCTTGGTTCTGTTCCTGGTCATATCAAGTATGACAAGCATTGACATGGTGATCTTCGGATCTTCAGCACTGCCCGGAGGCCTGTACAATTTACGTGATATGTGATATGCTGCCACGAGACTGCGTTGTCGCCAGTGAGGCTATGCAATAAGGGAAATAAGGAGGGCATATGATGGCAGAGTATTGATGATACCGGAGCCACACAATTATATGATGGACAAAGTATAAGCAATACGGATGTAACTGAACTGCACCGCCGGTCACAATACATCCAGATACGAGCGGAGCCATGTGAAACGGTCGTCGAGTCTTGGATTGTCCTTGAGTAATTTTATTCGCAAGTTTTTATTTTATCGTTATTTTTTAATACTGATGCGAGAGATTTCACATCATATCCTCCATTGGGGCGACACCACCATGCATCGCCAAGATGGTACATTGCTTTGTGGATGTCAAGGGACAGCAGAGACAGATTCAACAGTTGATCGGCAGAGGCGGCATACATTATTTACAGAGTATAAACTATATCAGAGTATAAACTATATGGCACAAATACTGTGCAGCACGTCGTGAGTTGTGTATGGGGTAGACCAAATGCACGCCTGGTCGTTGCAGCCAGATCCAATATTTCGGCAGACTCGTGCGTTTCACCACACCAGCACACCACTTGCTTTGTTTGCACGCCCCTCGCATCTTCATCGGGTTTTCGTTGGCGTCTGGACCTGCTTGAATGATGACCGGCATCCGGAGAGTTGAATTCGACCGAGACGAGGCGTATCAAGCCGTCCAAACAGCGGCCACACCCTCACGATGTTGACAATTTGGGGCTTTGAGCCTTGCGACATGCAAAGAGAAGAACGTCCGCTTTGCCGTCTATCCGAAGCCATGCAGGATGGGTGCATTGACACTCTGTGTGCATGAGGCTGCTGGACGGGGAGTTGATACTCTTTGGCAGACAAACAAAATAGAAAAATGCAAAGGACGGCGGACATCAGAGTGAGGATCGTTTCACGTTGGAGCAAGCCGAAAGCTAAAACAAACACCATTGGCATCGACAGTGGACATACTGAGTAAGAGCCGTGGCAACTGACGAACGAGATGAGATACAGCGGATGCGTTGCAGAGCACGGTCGCAAGACATAGCATCGACTGGAGACCAAGCTCATGCAGGTGACAGGCACACATGTCCGACGTCCGTCAAAGACCCCGTTACGTCGTGGGCGTGACGACGGACTGCTGCCCGAGCCACACGTTCCTGCACGCTTTGATCGTCGATGGCTCTGTCTCGACGCAGGACGCCTTTAATCTCAGCAGCGTGCGACTGGCAGACTTGGGCTGTGCATCGTGGACCAGGTGACATGCGCTGCAAGCAAGTTAAGTTGTCGTCGTGATGTTGTCCTTCATCCTCGTCCATTTCGGATTTTGCTTCTATTTTTATCCATGGTCTTCCTCTGGTAACCCCTGCATGTTTTGTCAAATTGCCGTACGTTGTAGATGCCTCTTTTTTCAACCATTACGACGATATTATTCCAAAGTTTGTATAAAAACGTTCCCAAAAACGACGACATATTGCTTCATACAAGTACCGCTACAACCGAGAAGCCTGCTTCGTCTCCCAATTTACCCCTGCATATACCGAGTCGTGATGCTGCACAAAGCCCCATTGTGGTCCTCTCTGTCCGGACGTGCCTTTTGCGACTACGACGTTCTGCCCCTATTCGTTTTGGTCACACGCGCACGTCCCAAGCAAACGGCGAGGACAGGCGGGGCAGACGAGAATAAACGAAAATCAAAATGACGAAAAATAACAAATAACGAAAATGAAACGAATCGTACATTCGTAGACCAAAAAGAAATAACTGTACATCAAGAAAACCACCAAAACAAAAGAAACAACTTATCCGAGGGAAACCGAAACCAAAACAACCACCCGCAAAGGAAACAACCCAAAACCGTTGCGGAAAAAGAAAGCAAAGGATCCGATGCGACACTACCAGACCACCTCCTGTCACACGCACATAAGCCCGCCGCAATATCCAGAGCCGCCTAGAATGGGAGCCTCCGTACAAAGTGGGATCGTTGGACGTATGGGACTCGCCATGGGAATGGCTATTGTCTTTTTCTCCCCATAGATGTGCCCCCATAGTTCACATCCTGCAGATATATTGCGCCGGAATATAGGTCAGAGACACAGCCGTCTACGCATCCGCAGTGGCGGTGGCACCCGGCACATCCTCGACATTGTTGTACCTCATCACAGAACGTCGTATGCATAACGTCCCGCATGCTGCAGGTCCCGTCCGACTGTGTGGGCCCTTTCTCCTATTGTGTCCTCTGCGGACAGATTTTCTACTATCGGAGCTTTTGTGTCTTTTACGTGCGCCGTATACTCAAACCGCATCACGAACCGAGGGATACCGTTCTCAGACGATGTGACATTGTGGTCAGCATGAGGAACAGTTGTTCCTGTTCTGTCCCTGTGCTGTTCCTGTAACACTTTGTTCCTTTATTCCGTGTTAAGAAATGGAGCCAAGACAGTAACGGCTGGACCTGACAAGCAAACAGAAAGGAAGAAGACAAAGGAAAAATACACAAAAAAAGAAAAATAAAGAAAGGAACAAAAAACGACTACATCAATTCCTTGCTAGCGAACGCAATGCACGCAGGTCGACCTTGGAACCCCGAGCTCCTACACCCACTCGCTGCTGAGTGCCGAGTTCAACCGCATTGCCTTTTGACGACACCTCTCATGTTGCCTTGCCATCGCCCGAGCTGTCGACCTTGACCTTCTTGGTTACCGAATGTCCAGAGTTCCATGGCGGCCGATCGCCGTTGCGGTCTGGGCCGCCATGGTCCTGGCAGTTCTCCAAGTTTGCTTCGGCCAACGCAGCCTTGCTGTCTCTGATCGGCCAACCACTCTCACACCGATCGCTTTTGGCTCTTGGGACACAAAATGCCAATTGACCACAAGCGCCAATTCCAGTTTGAGCTGCATCTCGCGCCGTCACGATCCACTGCCAAACAACGGCTCCGTTCCCCACTTTCCACTCGCCGCCCGGTCCAGATGTTCTGTCCGACGACGAAAAGGGAGATGCTTCCCGGCGTGTCAGAGTCAGACATTGTACGTTTTGTGTCTCGACGGACAACCTGCTCTGATCGTTTCTTGCACGGGCTGCGCATCAATGACCCTTTCTCAAACAGATCGTCAACTAGCCGCAAAATCATAGCCTTGTTGAAAGAAATGGCCGACACGCCAAGAGACCATGGCCTAGACCCGTTCGTAGCCTTGCCGGACGTCGACCGGTCTACCCTAGTCTCTCCCCATGATCGATTTTTTTTGCTATTTTCGGCCCAATTGCCGGTCCCAACATGGCGAGGATAAGCATTGTGGAACAAGCCAGATCGTCACTCGATGCTTGGAGCACAGGGCGCAATGCCCAGAGACGGAAGAATAAAGCACAAGTAGAAAAACAAGGGAGAAAAAAGAAAATAGAATAAAGAAGAAGAGAAGAAAATAGAAAAAGAAGAAAAAAGTAACGAGAAAAAGAGCTCCGAAACCAAACCCATTCCAAATAGGAAGAAAAACCCGAAGCAAACGTGCTCAGACGCGGAGCCGGCCGCCCATCAGCATCGCCATCGTGCAGCATCGAGCATAAAACATGCGCGTTTCGTTCGCCAGGCACCGGCCGCCTCCGGCTGGGCGAAAGAGGGGAAGCGTCCCGGATGCGCGATGCGCGATGCAGTCGTCGACGGCTGTTGTCGTCGGCAATGGCAAACGCCGTTCATCCCCAACGAAAACGTAAAGACGTCGTGAGAAAATGTAGAAATTGGACCTCACAAAGGCATGCATCGATCTCGAATAGGAAAGAAGGCGCGCCACAAACGCCGTATTGATGATGCGATCCAGGAATGCCATGATGCCATGATGCTATGATGCCACGATGCAAACTCTTATGCACTGGCAACGAGCGTCGAGAGCAGATGGACCTCGGAGAGGATCACCGACAGGGCAAACCGTCCATGTGACGAGTCCAAGTCAACGTCAAACGTCCTACTACGTGCAAAACACTTTGCAGTGCATCACACCCCGTGTCCTTGTCGCGTCACAGGGTGGACGAAGACGCACGATGATGATATTACACGACACAAAAACTGCCATAGGAGTGACATGGTGCAACAGGAATACCAAAATGAAAGGTACAGCAAAACCAAGAAAATGAGCCGGGCTACGTGCCCCATGAAAATCAAATTCAAAACCAAAACAAATCGGGCTTGGCCTGCCCATCATCGATCATCGGCTTCCCTCGACCCCCCTTGCGTCCCTGGTAGTGCCATTACTCGGTCGTGTCCATGGCGTCGCCGTCGTCCTCGCGTCCGGACGGCACGGCCGCCGTGGACGCCGTCCCCGTATTCGTAGCCGAGGCAATCGCTTCCGTCACCGTCGACGCGCCGCCGCTCTCCTTGTTCTTGGCCAGCGCCGCCGCGACGCGGTCTGCCTTCCACGCGTCAATCTTCTCCTTGAGCTCCGTCGCCGGCACCACGTCGTCGGCCGTCATCGGCTGCCGCGTAAACGGGTCCTTGGGGTCCGACAGCAGGTGCTGCACAATCGTCGACCGGTCGACAATGTGCCGCGACGGCAGGACGACCGGGTCCTTCATGAGGTCGCCCATAATCGGGTCCTCAAACTCGGCCGGGATCTCGCCCAGGTCCGTCTCGGCCTGGTCAAGCAGCGCCTTGGCCGTGGCGAACTTGGCCCGCAGCGCGTCCCACGCGGCCAGCTTCGCCGGGTCCATGAGGCCCTTGTTGGTCAGGATGCGCGTCGCGCTCTCAAAGATGGCCGGCTTGTACGACCGGCCGTCGTCGGCCACGGCCTCCACAAAGCTGGCCTTGTCGCCGAGGTTGAGGTACAGCTCGACAATCTGCGGCAGCAGAACCTTGGGATTGAAAAAGTACTTTTCCGGGTTCTCCACCTTGAGATTGCGCGACGCCGGCCCCGCCAGCGTCACCAGGTTGTAGTCGAGCATCCCCGCCAGCCGCGACACAATCTCCGGCATCGTAAACGCCTCGCTCAGCGCCTCCGTAAATAGCTTCATCATCGACACCGTCTCGTTGGCCAGCTGCATGTACGACTGCGCCTGGTTCTCCGCCTGCTTCAGCTCCGTCTCCTTTTGCTGCCGCTCGTCCGGCCGCAGGCCCGCCGCACTTGCGCTCTGCAGCTCCCGCTGCAGCTCGTGGATCTTGGGGAACCGCGACAGCGCCTCGTCGAGCACGTACGTCGCGTCGTTGAGCAGCAGGTTGACAAACTGCACGAAAAAGGACCGGTTCGTCTTGCTCTGCTGCGTCAGCTGCCGCTTGTACAGGTCGTTGGGCCACACCGCCTTGATCACCTGGAAGATCTCGTAGCGGATGTTGAACTTGTCGTAAAACGCCGTGTGCGCCCCGGTCTGCTCGCACTCAATGTAAAACTTCATGAGCGCGTGCAGCAGGTGCTTGTTGGCAAACGCGCTGTTCGTCAGCGCGTCGCCCAGCACCCCGTTGGCCAGGTGGTACATGCGCCACGTCCCCGAGAACAGCAGCGACACCAGCGACGACTTGAGGTACGGGTTGCGGATGTACTCGGACGACTCCAGGAACGTGATGCACAGCGCCACCATCTCGTCGCCCACCGCCGACGGCAGGATGCGCGGCACGCGCCGGAACAGAAACTTGAGGTGGTCCACCACGTTCTGCAGCGCGTACTCGGGCAGGCAGCTGAACGCCTCGGGCTGCGCCGCCGGCAGCGGGATCTGCAGCTCCTTGTCCGGCGTGTAGTCGGACCCGCTGGCCACGCGCAGCAGCCACACCGACACGTACCGCATGAACATGAGCGCCCGCTGCTGCATCTTCTCGTCCAGCAGCACCGCCTCGAGCGAGTACCGGTACGCCACGTGCCGGTCAATCGCCGCCGTGTACGTCTGCAGGTGCTGCTCCACCAGCGCCATGGACCGGTGCGTGGCCGGCGCGCCCGCCGCCACCAGCTTGCGCTTCTCCTCTTGGAGCATCGCCAGCTGCTCCTCCATGTGCTTGATCTCGCGGTCCATGTCCTTGAACTTCTGGCCCGCCGCGCCCCCGCCGTAGTGGTGCGACGCCATGTTGAGGAAGAAGAGCTCGCTGACAAACTTGGACTCGCCCGCGGCCGTCGTCGCGTAGAAGGCGTCCGCCTGCGCTTGGTCCGCGTTGAGCTTGGTCTCGTCGCTGATGTCGATGCGCGGCTGGCGCCGCAGGTACTCAATCTCGATGCGCTCCATGCGCGAGAAGCTGGCCTCCATAAACGGCTCGCACATGCGGTCGAGCACCGCGCCCACGTTCATCATGAACCCGTCCGAGGCCACCTCCTTGGCGTTCACCTGCAGCGCCCGCCGCTTGTGGTTGACGTTGAGCGCGTACGCGAACCAGTCGAGCAGCTTGTTGCGCGGGCCGTCGCCGGCGCGCGCAAAGGCCATGGCAATGGCGTGCAGGTCGGACTGGTGCTGGTTCAGCGTGAGCTGCAGCGCGCCGTACACGGCCTCCTTGCGCGTCGGCTCCGTCTTGTGCGAGCCGCCAAAGTACGTCTTGGACACCTCGGGCTGCAGCGGCGAGATGCGGAAGAAGGGCCCCAGGATCGTGTAGCGCTCAATGTTGGGCGCCGACTGGGCCATCTGGAAGTACGGGTGCTGGGCGACGGCGACCAGCAGCGGCTTGAAGCGCGTGTACGTCATCATGGCCTCGATGTACCTGGGGTACTCGTCGTCCATGGTCATCGTCGCGAGCTTAGCGCTGATGTCGATCATGGACTTGGTGAAGACGCCCTGCAGTATGCCGTCCTCGTCCTCGTCGAACCGCGCCACAATGTCGGTCAAGAAGTCCATGTCCAGGCTGAGCGGGTCGTCGGAGCGCATGCCGCGGAGGAGGTTCGGCATGAGTGTGTCGTGGGACGGATTTGGTTCGCGACTAAACAGTCAGAGGAAAAGAAACGAAGAACAAAAAACGAAGAAACAAAAAGCGAAGAAACAAAAACGAAAAAACAAAAACGAAGAAACAAAAACGAAAAAACAAAAACGAAAAAACAAAAACGAAGAAACAAAAACGAAAAAACAAAAACGAAGAAACAAAAACGAAAAAACAAAAACGAAGAAACAAAAAAAGGACCGAAAGGCACGCACCCAAAGAGCTCTGGCATAGTCAGGGCAAACACAATGTTGCTCATGCACAGCCGCTTGATCTCCTGCAGCACGGCCACCCGCTGCGGCACCGTGATGCGTGTCTTGATTTGCTTTGTCACGGTCTTGTAGATGGGCAGCAGGTAGTCCAGCAGCGGCTTCTTGTCCGTATAGGCCGAGCATGCCTCTTGGAACGCTGCGTCAATGTCGTCCGCCGTCAACCGCAGCGGCTTGCCACTGGCCGTCACAGCCTCTTCGCCGCCCGCCCGGTCGAGAATCTCGGACCGCAGGTCGTTGAGCAGTGTCAGCGGTGTGCCGTGCCGGTTCTTGGTCTGGGTCGGAGAGACGGTCACGTGGAGGAGGTTCGAGATGGTGGTGTCGGTCCACTCGGCGAGGGCGTCGGCGGCCGACACAGGGTTCGCGGCCGGCGTGGAGGGTTTTGGGCTGGCGATTGGGTGTGCGGCCGAGGCCTGCTGTTTTTGTGGCACGCCCGTAGGGGTGTTAGCGGCAAGGGCAAGCCGGGGGCGCTTGGAAGGGGATGCCTCGCGGCCTGCGCTGCGAGAGCGAGCATGGTCTTGGTCGTTACCTGATGAACTTGATGCGGCGGTTTGCTTCGGTGTGATTGTGATCTTTCTTGTGGCCGGGGCGGGTGTAGGCGTCGATGCGGCGGCGGCGGACGAGGCTGGTGACGCTGGCGAGGCTGCCGCTGCCGGTTTGGGAGAGGTGGAGGTGGCTGCACCGTCCTGGGGCACGGACGTGGACGTGGACGTGGACGAGGACGAAGCTGCGCCGTTGCCAGAGGACGACGAGGCACCGCCGCCGAGCTTGGCCAGACGCCGTGCCCGCATCTAAAACAATGTTAGTCGAGTCCGCCCGAGGGGCCGTTGGCAGGGAACTTCGAACCTACCTGTTCGGCACTGGGGAGCGTGGGCTCCTGGCCCTCGTTTGGATCCATGTGGGCGATGGTGCGTTCTGGAAATGCGGACCTTTGCGGCAGTTCGCAGCTGGACTATTCGACGTCGAGGTTCGAGTTGGAGACAGTGGCCGTGATGCGGAAGACCCGAGAGTGAAGAAGTCGAAAGAAGAGTACTCGTCTGTCGGACCGGACAGCTTGTTGTGTGAGGCTGGAACAGCTTGTTTGGGGTTGTCGTGTGTTGTTCTCCGCTGCAGACGGGCAGACGTCGAACAAGTGTATGTCAAAAAAAAAAAATCTGCTTTGAGATGAATCACGCTGTTCGATGCAAATTGGTGATAGTGGGTCCTGTGTCCTGTCGGGAAGGAAGGGGGGGTTGTTGCCTGTGAAGAGAAAGAAGGGAAGGTACCTTGGCTTTGGGACCAGTTGTTGCTTCCCTGTCGCGATGCCTTCTCGGAAAGGCAGGACTGTTGAACGGGATGTCGCCGCAGGGTAGCCTAGCTGTTGGTGGTGGTGGTGCCCCGCACCTTTCCTGTTTAGCGGCCTTGTTGCCTCTCAGCAGGCAGCTGTAAGGGTGCTGAGGCCTGTTCACATTGCCCACAGCGGCAGCATTTAGCGATGTTACTGGTGCCGAAATAGGGCGTTTTAGGCCGGCAATATGCCTAATGCTCGCAAAGGGTCCTGTAAAGGCGGTGTGGCTGCAAACCTAGCCTGGGCCAAATTCGCCCCGCCCGCGGAACCTGAAATCGAGCTTCGGAGAAGCTCACAGAAGACAGTTGTGCTGTCCGCATTAGTAATGCTCCACTTATAGCCGCCAGTGCGTAACGACGCACATAACGCCAACCATCACCGTAATAACATGAATGTCTACGACTTGAAAAGTAAAAGATGAGTAGTTTGTATTTGTGCCATATGGCCCGAGTACGACATACAATCTGGGTCATATTTATGGAGCCCATGATCCGGCTTTCTGCCCGCATAGCAATGAAGACAATGATAATGATAATGACAATGATGCAACCAAATACAAAGGTAACAATGCTCTTGAGAAAAGACCTGTTAGTCTCGTATCCCATCTTACAGCCGCGGGGGATTCTCGCGGTCACTCATGCGGCGTGGCGGCATGGCCGTGTTGTTGGTCGGGGCACGCAACACCGTTGGAGGACCCCGTGGGCCCGGGCCGGGGCCGGTGGCTGCTCCATTCGTAGACGGACCGGCTGCAGCACTCGATGCACTCGGCGGCACAGCGGCCGGTCCGCCGCTCGACACGCCGTCGTCACCAGCGGCGGCGCCGCCACCGCGCAGGCCGACGGATCGTTTCGTGGTCTGGCGGAACGACTCCATCAGCCAGCGCACGTACATGCTGATATGGCCCATGGTGTTGCGCATCTCCAAAATCTGTTCCTTGAGCGGGCCGAGCTCGTTCATGAACATCTGGGCCTGGCGCGCGTCGATTTCGCCGAGGTAGCGCTCGAGGTTCTCGACCTTGGCATCGAAGATGTCAATGTAGGCAACAATGCGGTTCATGCGTTCGTCGCTGTTTGCGTCATCGGACGCAAGGGCTGCCGTGGCGGGAACCAGTGCGCCGTCCGTAGGCGGTGTGCCGGGATGTGGCACGTTGCTGCCGCCACTGTTGTTACTGTTCGCCGGCGCGAGGTTGTCGCCGGCAGCTGCCATGTCATAGTAGCTGCTGAGGTCCTGGTGTGGTTCCAGCGTAGGCTGTGTCTGGGAGTAGACGTGCCCTTGCAGGTTGGGATGCTGTGACGGGTACTCGTACAACGTTGTTGGCGGTGGCTGTTCGGTCTGTGGTGCTGCAGTTCCTGCCACAGCCACCGTCGCAGCCAGGCCCGGTGCCGGTGACTGCGCCGGCCGGGCGGCCATCTCTGCCTCGAGTTTGCGCACCCGGTCTTGTGAGTCCTGCAGCACCGTCTCCATGCTGTCCATGTCGGCGCGGTGGGCGCGGTTCATGCGCATAATCATACCGTACAGGCATGTCCGCTCATGGTCGCCAAAGTCCTTCTTCTTACTGGTAAAGGAACAGCCGGACGCGCGGAACTTGCACTCGATACGGCGCTCTCCACACTCCATAACGTGTGTTCCGTGGCGGTGGCGGGGCACGGCAGCCAGGCAGTGCTCGCACATGAGCTCCTTTTGGTTGCAGTCGGCGTCGTAGTGGTCGTCGAGCGCGGCGAGCTCGACGGGCTTGCCGCAGTACTCGCAATCGATGGCTTGGTGCAGGCACCGGCCGTCCTCGCTGTCGCGGCGCGTAACCAGCTTGTCGCAGTTTGGGTCGGGGCAGGGGATCTTGGTAAAAGGGCACTCCGTCTTATAGTGGTCCTTGATGAACGCGCGAGCCGACGTGTGGTCGCAGCGCCGGTTGGGACAGCGCACGTGGAGGTTGTCGAGCTGGTTGGAGATGATATGCGGCGCGGGCCGGGCAATTACGGGGCCGTTTCGCGACGAGAACCGCGGGATGGGATTGCGGTCGATGGGGCAGCGATTGCTATGGCGTAGCGACTGCGTCAGGCACTTGGCGCAAAATATATGGAAGCACTTTGTTATCTGAGGCTTGACCAGTGGCGCGCGGCAAATGGGGCAGTCGAGGTTCTCGTCGTATGTGCCAATGTATTCGAGCGCGTGCCAGTCGAGCTTGGGCGTCTTTGGCCGGCGACGCTCCAGTCGTGCCGCGGGCGTCACGGGTGTCACGGGTGTCACGGGTGTCGCAGGTGCAGCAGGTGCAGCAGGTGCATGTATCTCGAGCTGTGGTGCACCGCTCCGTCCGCTTGCTCTGCTCCCGCTGCCACTTCCGTCTCCATCGCGTAATCGTCGCAGCATCTCCAACGGCCGACCTGCCTCGCCTGTTCCTGTTCCTCCCGTTGCTGGCCAGGGTATGCTGGGCGGCGATGGGAGCCCTTCTTCTGTATGGTCTTCCGTGTTCGAACTCGAGATGGAGTAGTTGGTGTTCCATGGACGGCCTGGAAACCTGCCGCGCTCCGCCACGTCATTCGTATATCCACTGCGCACGTCCGCGCTCAGCATGTCCATGTTGAGTCGTCGGCCGTCGGCCGCAGCTGCGCTGGTGTTGGCTTCGTCTCCTGAACGCCCCGGGTGTCCGGGGCCAATGGTGCTCGGCGAGGGCGAGAGGGCGATGTGGCCCATCAGTCCGCGTAACACGTTTGGTCGGGACGGCAGCGAGTCTTGGCTGTCGCGGCTGTGGCTGCTAGCCTGGCCGGTGCTCATGCGGCGCTCTATGCTGTTTCGTCGGCTCTCGCTCTGGCTGGTATTGGGATGTGAGTCCAAATCCAGGACACCGCCAGCCTCGTCGCTCTCGGCAGAGTCTTCATCGTGTGGAGGCAGGTTGGGGTAGCGCCGTGAGCGATTGCGGCCGGCGTTGTGGACAGCAGTGCGGTACTCGTCGGCAAAAAACTCCTCGGGTGTGTTTGGCGGCGGCATCGTGACTGTTGCAGAATGAGTCAAAGGAGAGAAGTACGAGAGAGGATGCGCGTCACAGCGCGGAACGATGGCGGGCGTCGCAGTCCCCCTTGAGCAGTTCGACGAGACGATGTAGCGGTGGAGGATGGAGGGGCAAGCGTCGCAGGCTCCGTCTGCTGCTTTTTGCTTGTGATTGTGTGGGTCGTCGGAACCCAATGTCTCGTCAAGTCGTCAGAGCTGGTGAGTCCCACGGAGCCAAAGCGGCATCGCGACGGTGGTGAAGAATCTGTGACAAGTGTAGGGGCGTAGAGACTTGCGTTTCGATGCGACGGCGGCCTTTTCTCTTGTGAAGAATGCTTGGCGTGGGTTGGGAGGCGTTCGGGTTGACACCGAGGCTTTGGGGCCAGAAGCGGACGAAAGAAAGAAACCAACGCGCCAATGATTCGCTATGGTGAACTGTAGCGGAGACAGGGTGCCACACTGTCCTGAGTTGTGGGGAAGCGTGACAGACTAACCACTAAAGATGAAGAGGACAGCGTACAGGCGGTGGGTCATGTTGATGCGATGGTGATGGTGACGGACATAGAAGAGAAAAGCGTTTTGGTGAGATGATGCAAATAGATAATTTGGATAGAGGCTCCGTATATTCATAAATTGTTGGGAAAGTGCATCTGGTGACTAGTTGGGGAAAGAGCTTTGAGAACAGATGTCCGTGTCAGAGGCAGGAGCTCTGGTTGGGTTTGACGTAGTCGGGAGCATCTCATTGGTCCGTGCGATCGCATTTGCGTCACCGAGATGACACAGCGGATCACGTGACCTTATTGGATTCTGATGCCGCGACAGTATGAGGTTGAGATACACGTCGCCTTGGTCGACGAGGAACCTGTGGATTGACTAGTTGCATTTACTTAAGAGGTGTATAATGTCCTTGGTTATATGTGTTGGTCAATCGGTGGGTTAATTAGGCATAGTTGACTCTCGTTTGAGGATAGATTACGGTTTATAAAAGCTCGCATCTATTTTTACATATCGAACACATTATACGTAATATTGTTTTTAAATTATGAATAGTAAAGAATTTCAAGTAATAGAAAGGCATTTAAACCTTATTCAACTCACAGGCTGTACGGCGCCGCCACAAACACCTCACGAAGGCCGAAAGCAGTCTCCTTACACAGATCCGCACCGGCCACATCGGCCTACGAGCGTACCTCTACCGACGAGACGCCGTCGACTCACCAACATATATATACGGCGCTAGAGACGAGACCCCGGCCCATGTCCTTTTATCCTACACGGCGGCACCGTCACGGCCGACAGACTAACCGTAAACACTAACAGACTTAAACCGCCGACTTCAAACGGGTCTCACGGCCCGACCACTCCTCCGTTAACTTATCCGGAGCGGCAGGCTCCCGGAGTATAGCCTAACGAGGGAGCTTGAACGGTCGCCGTCGCCGGCCTAGAGTGACGACACACTAGACAATACACCGACTCTCCTTACACTCTTTACGCCATCTGCTTCCCTTGCTCTTTTCTGTCCTGTTTATTCGATTCTGTTTTGTTTTATTCTGTTTATTTATACCTCCTCGGTAGCTATTCGAGCCAACCGCACGCAACCGTAACTAGAAAGATTACACACCTAGATCTGTGACAGTTTTTTCCCCAGAGGGTTTTGTCTAGCTAGTCGCCAATAGTCAGGAGTGGCTGAGAAAGGCGGATAATAATAATAATAATAAACCTTATTCAACATTTGCACCTCGAAATAGAACATAAGACGTTACATGGTCCGTAAAACTGTGATACAATTTCTGCTACCCCGTTGTTTTTTGCAGTAGTACGAATATATATTTATGGCTGTAGGATCTGCTCGGCCCAAATAGGAACCGTGCAAGTGTATGTGTGTGGTGTATATCATATGATTATCCTTGTTGTGCCCGATCCTTCTAGTAGAGTTGTTGATGTTCACCTCTGCCACACCGTTGCACGAATTACCGCGTCAACCACTCCATCGCCTTGTCGACCTCCTCGGCGGTGCCGCATACCAGCCCGCCACGCTCGTCTGTGTCGGCCAGCGGCGTGTCCAGCACCGGCTCGCCCGAAACGGGATCAACGGCCTTGCCACCCACGGTCTCGAGGACCAGCGCCACCGGACACAGTTCGTAGAGGCGGCGCAGCTTGGGCGTGCTGGCGGCGGTGACGGGCGACAGGTAGATGCCGTGGCGCTTGACGAGAATGTGCACGAGGTCGGGGACGAGCCCGCCGGCGTAGCGCAGCGTGTACTTGCTGGCGATGTAGTGGGCGATGAGGTCGCCATACGGGGTGAGCTCGGCGGAGCAGCGGATGTTGGCGGGGGCAAAGTATTTTGTGCGGGCCTCGGCAGCGGGGGCGAGCGTCACCTCGGGGTGGACAAGCTCCCAGGCGCCCGTAGCCGCCCCATAGCCCACGTCGATGCACACGGGCTTGGCCGCGCCCGGAACGCGCAGGGCGATGAGGGCGGTCGTGCGCGGCCCGTAGACACCCAGCACGGATGCAATCTGGGCGTCGGCTGGGCGCGAGCCAATGGCGGTGGCCCCGTCCCAGACGCCGGCAATGGTGCCGACGGTCCAGTTGGGCGCAATGATGGAGCTGCCGTCGAGTGGATCAAAGGCCACGGTGTAGACCTCGGACGAAGACGCGGACACGGACGAGATGGGCCGTTCAATCGGGTCCTCTTCGGAGCTGGCCGTGGCGACTGTGGGGCAGCGAGCGAGTGCTTCTCGGATTAGATTCTCGGCCATCACATCGACGTTCAGCTGGTCGTCGCCAAAGGCGTTGGTGCCGCCGGCGAGGGCGACGTGGTGCGCATCGCTGAGGGCCGAGGCGACAGCGGCGATGCTGTCGAGGAGTGCGGGCAGCACCGAGGTGGTGAGGGCTGTGCGGTCGCTGGTGGCGCCGGACAGGACCTCTTTCAGGTGCTGAACGACGTTAGACGTACTGGATGACATTGTGGCGTGTGTGACTGCGCATGTTAATGTGTGTTTTGAGTTGCCAGTGAGGGATATTATGTGAAGCTTTTGGGATTTCATGCCCCACTTTCGCGGACGCCAAATGGTGATGTACCAGAACACTGTGACGAGGGCGGGAAAGCAACGCAAATATGAATTTAAAAGACGTACTCGATTCTGAAAGAATACAAAGCTCAGAAAAAGGCAACAAAAGCCTCATTACAGCAGTTGCGTGTGATGCGCTTGACGGCTGCGTTTATGATTCTTTTGCTGGTCACCTCTCCCCGAGATGACCTCCTTTTCGACGATGTGGGCAAGGTCAAGAACAGCCTCTAACGAGGCCCATGGGACATTCCAAGGGGCTCCGGCTGTGCCTTTTGGGCTCCGACAGTACGTAGCCCATGAGATTGCCTACTTGGGAAAGGCCATCTGCTTCCGGCACTGCTATATAAACACACAGAGGGAAGAGAATTATCAACATGCAACGTTGGACGTCAACGTCAACGTCAACGCTACTCTATCGTGGTTGTTCTTAGCCAACTGGATTCTAGCAGGTCCCGTGCGCATGGTCTGTTGTGCGGCTCCAGATCCAACATGCTTCGTACAAATGCCACAAATGCCTCTCTGTCGTCTTTGCGTCCGTCGCCTTCACCAAAAGCACCACTGCCAGCGCACAGATTCTCGAGCGCAAGCGACGGAAAGGATATGCCGCTCTCGAGCCGGTCACGACGGCTGGCACGGGACAGCAGCGTGTCGGGCACGCGCCCCAGTATCGCCTGCATCTGCGCCAGGTGCGCCTCGGACGAGTACGCGGCTGTGGCAGTGGCTTGTCCGTCGAAGCAAAGCTGGCCCGTCGTCAGCTCCCATATCTGCAAGTACGCTTAGTGTCAGTACGTGTTTGTGATTGTCCGTGGGTGATATTGATGCGCACAACGAGGCCCAAGTTCCAAATGTCGACCTTGCTGTCCCAGGCAGCACCGAGAATGACCTCGGGCGCCCGCAACTTGTCCGGCTGGATCCATTCAGAGAGGAGCTTGGTCGTCCACGAGGCTGTTGATGGTGAGTGCATGCGCTATGGTACGGAGGGAGGTTTCTGGGTTGACAGGACGCACCAGTGCCGAAATCAGCGAGGCGGAATGACATGCCTGAGACAGCGGCTGCGGCTGTCAGATCCTCGTGCGCCGAAGCCACCGGCTCCGACGCCATGTAGTAGTCGTGCGGCGGCGGTAGTGGCGCTGATTTTTGCTGGAAGACGTCAGGCGGCGCGTGCTGGAACATGTCGTTTGTCTCGGCCGTGTTTCGACTAGAATGTTTGTCGGTTTGATGTCTTGATGGGTTAGTACGCGCATTTCTCACGATATACCTTTGAGCTGGTATGGGACACACCCGTGTGGATAACTCCGCATTCATCATGAAGAAACGCGAGCGCCGTCACAAGGTCCCGTGCGACTTGCTTCGCCAGGTGCACAGGAAGCCGGCGGCGCGGAAACAAGTCTCGGAGCTGGCCCAAGTTTGGCCCCATGGCTTTGAACACGAAACATACGTGCTGGCCGTTTGGACCCTCGTGCCTGAAAGTGTCGAGGAGCCCAAGAACATGTTTACTTTGTGGATCTCCCCGTTTTTCTTGCTGTTCTTGATGTGCTTTCTGTTTGTTGACGATACAATCCAATATGGCAAGCTCGTATGAGTCCTTTTTGCCATCGTACGTATCTGCTGTCAAGATTTTGAGGGCGACCATTTGCTTCGTCCTCAAAACAACGTGTTAATTCAGGCATATCACCACCGGTCACACTACCAATATCTGGTCACGTACTGTGTATTGTGAGCCAGCCAAACAGTCGAATACACCCCGAACCCAAGTTTTCTTAGTACACGGTACTTTCCGTTGTCAAACTTGGTCCCGATGCGGACCGGGTGGAAGCCTCCCGAGGCATATCGTGCTATGTTTTCTTCGGATATGCTGGGCGTGGTGTCTCTGTTGAGCGAGGTTCTGAATGACACATACATCCGGCCTGTTCCGCAAGACCGGTAGCTACGCCCAAGCGCCGACTGGAGGCGACGAGACACCGCGCTGAATGCCCTTGGAAGTGGCGACATTGTGAATGGAATGTTGGAATGCCGGTGAACGTAAACCTCGCGACGCTCTGTACGTGCACGTTGTGACGAGGATACATGTAACAGTGGATTCGATTTTATGTAAGCAGGAGCGTGTCCCCTGAGAGACGCATGGGGATTGGCTGATTGATTGGCTACGGTGCATCTTGAGTTATGCAGGTACTATGTGCGAGATGTAGCAAAGTGGCGCGTATTGCCGTCGTTATCAGGATTTCCATGGACTATATGTTGTACGCAGCTCTTGTTATCGGTCTCCACCCGAATCTAGATTGGTTGTATAAGGCAAGACGGGACAGCATGCGACGATCCAAGCGACGTCTGTGCAGTCTAGCCTTCTTCCCGGAAACGAAGAGACGTCTTATGATGGTTTGTTATTGTGTGGACGTCGACCCGACTCATCTCAACACATGTCCTCGGCCGCTTCCTGTCATCCATCCAACAGACATGCAATCAAGAGCATTCGTCACCGCCATCCTGCCACGTTCTTTTTGGTTTATTTTGGTGTTTGCTGATCGGCGGGACGAGTGGCACGTTCTCCGCCCAAAGGGATTGATCCGGCGACCACTGCCACTCAGAAATGGCACACAAGACGGGACAGCCTGCAGGTACATATGATTGTGCCTGGGTTGACGGGGGTCCGACGAATGGTAGCGAGCACACGTTTGTCTGGATGCAGTAAATTGCAGTTGTTTTCTTTGCCCGTCAATTTAGCCGTCGCACGAGAAATTGCGTGGTCGACGGACGACAGACAAAAATAAACAAAAGGTTCGCGGAGCTAACTGGTTTCCTGGAAAAAAGGGGGCCCAGTAAATGACGATCCGAGAGTACGGACGGTGTTGGATACTCTTGTGAAATAAAACGGACAATCACCGCCACTTGCTCGTCATTGTTATGATGACTGTTGCTTTCACCACGCCCTATCGGCCCACCTTCAGTATGCACACGCTGTCCACTCTTGCTGTTGCCGGCCTGGCAGCCGTAGTTTCTGCGGCCCCCGCGCCGGCGGACGGTTTCCGGCTGACGGTCGACACGGCCACGACGTACCAGACGATTGACGGGTTCGGGTTCAGCGAGGCGTTCCAGCGCGCGCACCAAATCATCGACCTGCCCGAGGCCACGCGGGCCGCGCTGGTGGACCTGCTGTTCAACGCAACGTCGGGCGCCGGCTTCTCGATTCTGCGCAACGGCATCGGCAGCAGTCCCAACAATACGCAGGACTGGATGAACACGATTGAGCCCGACGCACCGGCCGGCGGGCCGGCGGGGGCGCCGCATTACGTGTGGGACGGCCGCGACTCGGGCCAGTTCTGGGTGGCGCAGCAGGCGGCGGCGTACGGAGTCAAGACGTTTTACGCGGACGCGTGGTCGGCGCCTGGATTCATGAAGAACAACAGCGACGATGCCGGCGGCGGGTACCTGTGCGGCAGTCCGGGCGCGCCGGTGTGTGCCTCGGGCGACTGGCGCAAGGCGTATGCCGAGTACCTCGTGGAGAACGTGCAGCTGTACAAGGTGGGTGGAAAAGTGCGCGTTGGTTTTTTTTTGTCAGTCAAGCTCGACGCGAGCTGACCCCAACAGGAGCACGGCATCAACATTACACACCTTGGCTTCTTGAACGAGCCCGACTTGACGTGAGTTTTTCTGTTGTCTCCCCACATCCGATGGCAACGCGTCACCGAGTCTCACATCACACAGGACCGCCTATGCCTCGATGCTGATGGACGGCGCGATGGCGGCCGATTTCATCAAGATTCTGCACGCGGTGCTGGCCGCGCACGGCCTCGAGAAGCAGGTGCACATCGCCTGCTGCGACGCCACAGGCTGGGCCACGCAGCGCAACATGTCGGACGCCATTCTGCGCGACGCCGACGCCGCGCCGCTCGTCGACGTGTTCACGACGCACCTCTACACCTCCAAGGTCGACACGCCGCTGCCGACGCGGCCACAGCAGCCGCAGCACGCGTGGATGTCCGAGTACGCCGACCTCGGCGGCAACTGGTCGACGACCTGGTTCAACGCCGCCGCGGCCGCTGCCAACGACACCGACGTGCTGAAAGGCGACGGGCTGACGTGGGCGCAGCACCTCCACACGGGGCTGACGACGGGCAATTTGAGCGCCTTCTTGTGGTGGGTGGCCACGCAGGACACGCAGACAAACGGCAACAACAACGAGAAGCTCGTGCTCGTCGACCTCGCGGCGGGCACCTACACCGTGGCCAAGCGGCTGTGGGCGTTTGCGCAGTTCAGCCGAGCGGCGCGGCCGGGCGCCGTGCGGGTGGCCGTCAAGACGACGGGCGTCGACGGCTGCGTGGCCAAGGGCGCGTCGCCGCTGCGCACGGTTGCGTTCCACAACGCCGACGGCAGCGTGTCCGTTGTGGCCATCAACGACGGCGCGGTGGACGTGTCCATCAGCGTGCGCAGCCGCGTGGCGAATGCCGTCTCGGCCGAGGCCTGGGCGACGGACGAGACGCGGGATTTGGAGCCGGTGGCGGTGACGGTCGACGCGCGCGGCGACGTGACTGCTGCTGCGGTCCCGGCACACGGTGTCCTGAGCGTGATTGTTCGTGTGTAGGTTGGTGGGTGGATGTGACGGTCGGTGGAAGGCCAGATAGTAAGATGTTTGCTGTGACCGAGCTGTCCTCTTCGCTGTATTAATCTAATATTATTATTTTGTCTTTGCAGGATACGTTTATAAGACGATAGCATGATTTCTTTGCCAGATGACGAATTACCAAAGTCACTGAAGACGTGACATCTGCCGTCTCGGCCATCACAATGTGGAAATACACTACATTGACACGGGCCATAGACAGCACATTTGTCCGATGTGATGCGAGACGACAGAAATAAATAAGAGAGTGGCTAGAAAGGGTACCACGGCTCGGATCACTGCCTAGCCGGGCCTGTGGACCTGCAGTAGGGCGACGGGGACGAGGATAAACCGACACAAGGGCAAAACGAGAACCCTGATGGCGACCTTGATGGGCCACGGCAGCGGTGAGACGAGACTTGGGGACGGCGAGTACGTCGTATGGATCGTTTGTGGGCGGTGAGGATGTGAGGATGTGACACTGATCATACTCTTTGCGGATTCCAACGCCCGTCGACCAGTCGCTTTTCTTCTCTGCACAGCTTGTCATCTCAGATCCTGGATGCTGTGTCCCGGTCGACGCCGTTTGTCATTGGTAGTCTGCCTGTCGTTTGATGACATGGTCGATCTCGCATATGAGGGACGACGGGTGATTTCGCGTATTGAAATTGCCGTTTTATGTGTCCTGCTTGTACTCTGCTCTGTGTTCATTTCGGTACTGCATGGTGCCGGCAGTCGTCGATGCGCCGCTAACGAGTAGTCAGGGGTACAAAGCTGCAAGGGGAGAGCTATTTCGCTTGCTGACGTGTGGTTGATACCTCTGGACATGCGACAATATATTTGACGTCTTCCCAGCGTCTTCCCAGATGTTGCTCGGCATACTCGCTGCTCGATACTCAATACTCTTTCCCCGTGTCGTGACAGAGGCGTCTGTCTCTTCTGTTGTGACATTATCTTCCACCGTCCGCCTCTTACCTTTCTGTTTTGGAGTGGCACATTTGCAATGGCCGTCGACGATTACACCGTCGGGGCCACGCGCTCCGACACACCCACCAACACACCCTCGTCCACGTCGGCACTCATCGCCACCAAGTTCACGACGACGGCGATCCGCAGCAAGACGAACCGGCACGAGTCGCCGCAAAAGGGCATTTCTGATTTCTGGTCGGCCTTCCACGCACGGAAGCCGGGCAGGATCACGTCGATATTCCCGCGGCGACTGTACGAGCAGTGGGGCCTGCAGCCTGCCCAGGATGTCGTGGGATGGACTGCCGCGACGGTGGCGGGTGTTGCAGGTGTGAGCACGCCGGCAGCCTCGTCCTCCTCATCGACTTCCTCGACCTCGTCGGTCTCATCATGGGCGGCTGTGTCGGCTCCGTCGACGCCCACAGAGCCTTCGCCAACGCCGACGACCTCCTATGAGGCTGCCGCAGCTGCTTGCCGTGCCGCCGTGGCCCGCATCGTCAGCGCATGCCACCGCACGAATGAAAAGTTCACCGACCCCGAGTTCAACTTGGAGGACGACCCCAACCAGAACTGTCTGCGCGGCCTGGTGCGGCGGCGCGCGGCGGACGGCGGGGAAGAGAATGCGCTGCATCCACTGCACACACCGCCGGCGGTGCATCGCGTGGACTGGATCTTTGAGAAGCCAGTGTTTGTCAAGAACGGACGCGAACGGAGTGAGGACACCAGCGAGCGCAGCGAGGACAGCGGCTTCTCGTCGTCCGACGTGCAGCAGGGCCGCGTGGGCGACTGCTGGTGGATTGCCGCCGTGGCAACGATGGCGCACCGCACGGACCTGATGCGCCGCGTGTGCGTGGCCCGCGACGAGCGGTGCGGCGTCTACGGCTTTGTGTTTGTGCGCGACGGCGCGTGGACGCCGGTGGTGGTCGACGACCAGCTGTACGTGCACCACGCGAACTTCCGCGCCGAGACGTACGACGCGTCGGGCCAGCGCGCGCGCGACCACCGGCAGCGGTTCCAGCGCGGGTCGGAGGCGCTGTCGTTTGCGCGATGCGCCGACGCCAACGAGACGTGGCTGCCGCTGCTGGAGAAGGCGTTTGCCAAAGCGCACGGCGACTACGGCGCGCTGGCGGGCGGCTGGTGCAGCGAGGGCATGGAGGACCTGACGGGCGGCGTCAGCACGACAATACCAGCGAGCCGCGTGCTGGACAAGGACCGGCTGTGGCGGGAGCTGGCGGGCGAGGCAGGCGAGATGGGCGACGACGGCGGCGGGCGCAACAGCGACTTTGTGTTTGGCCTGTCGGTCATGGGCTGTGGATGCGTCCGGGCCAACCACAACGGCCTTGCCGTCAACCACTGCTACTCGGTGCTGCGGGCGGTCGAGGCCCCCTTGGAGGACGGCGCCGCGACGGTCCGCCTCGTCCAGATCCGCAACCCCTGGGGCCACCGCAACGAAGCCACGCACATGGGTGCCTGGCACGGGCCCTGGGCGGACGGCGCCAAGGAGTGGACGCCGTACTGGCTCAAGACACTGGGCCACACGTTTGGTGACGACGGCGTGTTCTGGATGGCCTTTGAGGACGTGCTGGCGACGTTTGGCTACCTGCACCGCACGCGCCTGCTGGACGACGCGTGGACGGCGGCGCCGCCGCTGTGGACGTCGTTGCGTGTCGGCTGGGTCGCCGGCTACGCGGACACGCACTTTGCTGTCGACGTCGAGACGGCCGGGCTCGTGGTGGTCGTCCTGTCCCAGTTCGACGACCGCTACTACCGCGGCCTGCGCGGGCAGTACGCGTTCACGCTGCACTTTGTCCTGCAGTCGGCCAACGGCACGGTCCTGTCCAGCGCGCACGCGCCCAACGCCCAGGAGACGCGGTCCGTCAGCTGCGAGGTCGTCCTGCCCGCCGCTGGGCGGTACACGGTGCGCCCGCACATCACGGCCCGACGGGACCGGCGCAGGCTGGCAGAGGCGGCCGTCGTGTGCATGACGGCCGAGACAAACCCGGCCAAGCTGCGGCAGGTCGGACAGCAGTACGATGCGGCGCACGCCAAGGGAGGCGATGTCGTCGACGAAGACCAGCGGCTGGAAGACCGACGCGCGCGCAAAGTGGCGAGGGTGCGGGCGCGCAAAGCGTGGCACAAGGCCGAGCTGACGCGGCTGCGCGCGGCGCGCGTGGCGTGGGTGGCGGCGCGAGAAGAGTTTCGACTGCGGCGCGAGAAACAGATGCACGACGTGGCCGTGAAGGAGACGGAAAAGGACGACAAGGAAGACCAAGACAAGAACAAGGACGGCCAGGCTCTCCCCGACGTCGACCCCGGCCCCGAGCCAGTGGCCTTTCCCGAGCCCAGCTTTTCCGACAGCGAACTCGACGCCGACGACAGCGACGATCTGCTGGACGACAGCGACGGCGAGGCCGCTGCCATCGACCTGCGCAAGACCATGGGCAAGAAAGGATGGCCGTTTGTAGAGGACGACGACAAGGGTGACGACAAGAACGACAAGAGCGACAAGAGCGACAAGCAAAGTGACGAGGACGGCCACGCCGACGACGACGACTCGCCGTGGAATGCCGTCTGCATCGTCGGCCTGCGCGTGTACGCGAAAGAGCCAGGAGTCTCCGTCGGCCTGGTGCGGCCAGAGAAGACAAATGTGGGGGTCACAAACAAAGATATAAAATAGGAAGCAACCGTAGAAGACACAGGAATTCGCTTCTAGCCACAGCTTAGATTGTTGACACATTTCTGCTTATATTCCCAGCCGGCCAGAATCTGCTCCAGACCCGCCTGTGCCTCCTTTCTGATGGCCTCGACTTCCTTCGTATCATTTCGTCCCAAGACGCTTTCGTATCGAACTGTTTGTGTTGGATTTACTTATGTCGGTGCTTGGGTCTCACCAATTTTGAGCTACGAACCAAGGCTTTTGCTCATAGACCGCTCCGTGTTGAAGACTGTTTGAACAAATACTGTACGTAACGAACGCAGAGCCACAGGAAAACGGAACAGTTCTTGATGAAGGATGATCATGCGGCGTATCAGTCCGCCCCATACGCACCAATCACTCTGCAATCCATACGGGACGAATTACGCCCAGCAACCTATCCGTCTTTCAGACAACAATCAAATGCCCTCATTGGAGGATGCCATACGAGGTTATGGGATTGGCTCATCACCTGCCGACGAGTCTCGCGTGGCTTAGCCACAATTGTTCATCGTTTCCTGGGCATATAGAAATCTCAGCCACCACGAGGCCATGCATTGCCTCGGTGCAGCTTGCGTGATCGTGGGGGCCATAAACCAAACGTGACATGCTCGTCTTCTTCGAGTGTACCGTGGCGGCCGACACGGGCGGGGTAAGCCGCGGGGCATTTGAGGCAACTATGGACCGGAGCATACTGCATGTTTCTTCTGATGTTGAGATGCTTTTGTCTCCAACTAGTGCACATCTCCACAACGTGGCAATACAATTTAGATACTGCTGTTACAACCCTCGTAAGTAGGATTCTGCTGGTAACATGGGGTTTGCCTTTGCTGACAACATACCTGTAGATTGTGTATATTTACACAGCACAAGCATAACGAGTCAAAGCCTCTGTCTACGATGTCCTACCAGCGCAGTACCTGCACGCAATTTTATATTCACTACACTTGTGGCCATGATAAGAACAGCGAATTTGTAAAGTGCCCGGAGCATGAAAAAAGGGAGGCCAGTGCAGTGTTCTCGATAGAGTGGAAGAAAAGACGAGTACGCATGCGCCGAGTGTTATTATCATTAACGAACACATGGAATGGGTATGATTCTCGTGGTTAGCGAAGGGCCAGCATGGACTTTAACTACCAAGGACGGCCGGCTCCCGACTCGTCGACTAGTTTAGCTTCTAGAATCTTCCTCTCCGCGTCTCGGGCACTGCTGCTCCAGGTATCTGTACCCTGAAGCACCGAATCCTCAAAATCGATAAATTTGGGTCCTTGCTGCGTTACCACAATGTTGTACTTGACAAGGTCGCCATGGATCAGGTAGTGGTGAAGGGTATCGAGCGCGGTCTTGCACGCCTCCAGATCGCCGAGATTGGGAACGCGCCCCTCGAGCTTTCCCGTCAAGAAGCCAATGACGCGGTCCGCGTGTATCTCGTACACATAGCCGACGAGCTTGGCGGTGACAGGGCAGTCTATCAGGCGATGATAGCTCTGGAGTTCTTGGATGACCTATGGGATCTCGTGGGGAAAACGTGCAATCTTGAGAAAGTACACATTGCCGTCGATCTCGACCTCGGAGGTGCGCGACTTGTGCTTGCGAACAAGGCGGAGGCTTTCAAAGCGGTAGACGGGGTAGTCGTCGAGAAGATACGTCTTGGGAACGGAGGGGACAGGGGTCTTGTCGAGGTCGCAGCGCGTCGTTCCCTTGCCCACATGGATCGTGAGGGTCGTCCAGGGCGTGTTCCACCCGTCCAGTTTCTCCAGTTCAGCCAGGACCGTGGGGCCGTGGTTACGGGCGTGCCCGGGAAGAAAGTCTTCACCAAAGACGGCGACGTAGACGATCCCCCGATCAGCTCGCTGTATCCTGTAGAAGGCGTCATTGTCCCCAGACTCGACTGACAACATGAGATTCATGATCACTGCAGAGGTAGTGAGGCGAAATTGTATGGAATGAGGGCAATGACTCAGATGGTAGGCAGAGTCGTTCCCTAATGTATTATGGATAGACTTAACAGTCGACGCGGTAGTCGACTCGCACACAGAAAATGGTGTCCAGCTCAGTTCTTTTCTCATTATAATGTTTGTGAGTTGTCTCATAAAAACAATGAAATAGTGGAGCGGAATAATTTTAGTGCGATTTTAACACTCCACAGGGAGTCGATTACTACCTGTCGCCACCTGTCACGTAATTTAGTGCTCCCCAGAGTGCAGTGGAAACAAACACACAAGTCCCAAGAACGACGATGTGCAAGTCGACCTATGGTTATACCACTCCGAGGCTTCGTCCGCACCGACAACTCATGAACAGCACATGCCTGCCCCGCGCCAGTACGTACGATTTTGCGACCTGAAGTTCTAATACGGAATACAATGCGAGGGTGGCTGAAAGGGCGGTGTGCGACATGGTTACACGACCTTCACAACTGCTCACAGTCTCCTATTTGACCGAGCATTGAAGTCCCGTAGGTCAACAGCCTCGATTTGTTTCCCTCTTTTCGGTCAACAGTGACCCTGTCGTTGTTATACGATTTACTGAGTTGATATTGATCTCCAATGGCTGTGGAGATGGCGGCTTAAACCAGCCCTGCCATATCGGGGAGATCGGGAGGCTTTGGTTGCCGACGGGAAGACGGCGCCAACGCCAACTAACTATTGGGGAAATGTGACCATAACCTCCTCCCCGCTGGAGACGGAAATAAAGAAATGAGCAGTAGAATTGTCGATGGTGTCCGCCGACGGCCGCTGTTGCCGGATGTTTGGGGCCCGTGATTCCGAGTCGACCTTTGTCATCTTGTCCGTGTAAGTGTCTAGTGTTCATACTAGACTGTAAATATTGAACGCGAAGCACTCGATGCGGCGTCAAAGGGTACGCATACTGAATTGACCGAGACCGTTTCAACACCATGGCTTCACATCCTATTTTATCCAAGGCATGTGGGCATTTCTCTATGGTCAATGAGTGATTGTTCACTGACAACAACGTGCAGCTCAACGATGCTTCCCTCTTCATCGAGAAGGGCCACATGGACGGCACCTGGGTGACGGCCGCGTCGGGCGCCAGCTTTGACGTCGTCAATCCAGCCAACGACCAGATTCTCGGCGCTTGCCCCGACTTTTCGGTTGCCGAGGCGAACCGCGCCATTGATGCCGCCGCCAAAGCCTTCCCGGCGTTTCGTGACACGGCGCCGCGCGAGCGTGCCCGTCTGCTGCGCCGCTGGTATGACCTGGTCATGGCCCATGCCGACGACCTCGCTCTGCTTCTCACACTTGAAAATGGCAAGCCCTTGGCCGAGGCCCGCGGCGAGGTCGTCTATGCCGCCAGCTTTCTCGAGTGGTTCAGCGAAGAGGCCCCGCGGGCCTACGGCGACACGGTGCCGGCCGCGAACCGGCCTGGTGCGCGCCAGGTGCTGACAGTGCGCGAGCCGGTCGGGGTGTGCGTGCTCATCACGCCGTGGAACTTCCCTGCGGCCATGATTACCCGCAAAGCCGCTGCCGCGCTCGCCGCTGGGTGCACGGCCGTCATCAAGCCCGCCGGCGAGACGCCCTTTACGGCCAACGCACTGGTCGAGCTGGCCCGCCGGGCAGGTGTGCCGCGGGGCGTGCTGAATGTTGTGACGGCCAGCGCAGCGCAGACGCCCGCCGTCGGCGCAGCGCTGACATCGTCGCCGCGTGTCCACAAGGTGTCCTTCACCGGGTCGACGGCCGTGGGCAAGCTGTTGATGCAGCAGTGCGCCGGCAACACGCCCGGCAGCACGCTCAAAAAGGTGTCGCTCGAGCTTGGTGGCAATGCGCCGTTTATCGTGTTTGACGATGCCGACCTCGAAGCAGCCGTGGAAGGCGCGCTGTTCAGCAAGTTCCGCGCAACCGGTCAGACATGCGTGTGCGCCAACCGGCTGTATATCCAGGCGGGCGTGTACGACTGGTTTGCTGCACGTCTTGCTGAGCGTGTCCGCGGCGAATTTGTCGTCGGAGACGGCGCGGTGGCCGGTACAACACACGGTCCGCTGATTCACGCCCGAGCCGCCGCCAAGGCCGAGGCACACGTGCTGGATGCCGTCAAGAAGGGCGCCAAGGTGTTGGTTGGTGGTACGGCCCGTGGCAAGACGGCCTCCTTTGTTCAGCCCACCGTCTTGGCCGACGTCACCTCTGATATGCAGATTGCATCGGAAGAGACTTTTGGTCCCGTGGCCGGTCTCTTCCGGTTCACGACCGAGGCCGAGGTTCTCGATCTCGCGAACAGCACGGAGTTTGGCTTGGCCGCGTACGTCTTCAGCCAGGACGTGCATCGGGCGTGGCGCGTGGCTCGGGCCCTGGATGCTGGCATGGTTGGCCTTAACACGGGCGTAATCAGCGATGCGGCGGCGCCGTTCGGCGGTGTCAAGTCGAGCGGGTTTGGTCGGGAGGGCAGCAAGTACGGCATTGAAGAGTACATGACGGTCAAGACCATCACACTGGGTGCCGAGAGGGTGAAGAGTCGCTTGTAGGGGAGTAAGTCGGATTTTCAGTTCTATGGACGTCAAAAGGTGATTGAGAAGGGGTAACGCAGTTTGCCCCTTCCTGCATGCCGTTCCTTCCGTTTGTTGCTGTGACAGGCGCCTTCTCTTTTCGTCGTTCGTGGTTCTTTACGGCAAGTGCAAATCAGTCTGTTCATTCTAGAATCTAATTGGCTTGAACTCTGATGTTGTCCTATCATCACAGTCGCAGTTTCTTCAATTGGTTGTCTGCGCTTCCGTGTTTACTTTTTTGTTGTTATTTCCCGTTTCGTATCGTTGTAAGGCAGATCAGACAAGACTACCGGTATCCACTTTGACCGCCATCCCCAACTTTCAATGAAACCTTCTCACCGCAAATCCTAACAACATTTTGGTGACCTCAACTTTCGCAGCAGCCACACATCCGCTTCATCCTCGCCATCTGCACCACTCGAGGCAATCTTCGAATCTATCTAAGAAACGCCCGTCGTCCAATCACTTGATACTACTCTTTACGCGATGCCTGCATCCGACGCTCTTCGTGAGTCAATGGAAATCGTCTCGTCCAGTCCGCCCCCACACCAAAGGCAAAAGCTAACAATCGTCGAGAACCGCCTCTGACGCCGGCTGAGCGGACGATTGTCAAGTCGTACGGTGGTTGGACGGGCTTTATGCAGTCGTACGGTCTCAAGCCATGGGACGAAGCCGATGCGCAGGAGGGCAAGCAGATCCTCGAGGCTATGGTCGATGCGGACGACAAGGAAAACTAAGACCCGGAGGGGCAGGGCAGCTTCCAGCAAACATACGAACATACGTGCAGTCCGGGGGCATTGAACACATAATAGCACGGCAAGGGGCGGTGATTACAGCCAGTACAAGAGTAGCACGTGCTGAGCAAATGAGCAATGATCAATATTAATCAACCTGTTATTCTACCTCTTGCTTAGATTGTGTACACAAACCGCGGGCTCTCGTCACCAAGTGCATCAATCTCGTCGTCCGACATGCCTGCGATCTTGTGGTCCTCCAGTCCGGCGGCGCGGCGTTTGTTGACGCGGTCGTAGTAGTAGGACAAAAAGCCATAGATGGCGATGCCGTACGCCAGCAGGGCAATCGACACACTGTAGCCCATGACGTAGCGGGGCGCGTCGGCAGCAGGGTACAGAAAGGGCGAGACGATGCCGGAGCAGTTGCAGACCATGATCTGGATGGCCGAGGCGGTGGTGCGCTTGCCGTAGCGCGGCGTGTTGGAGGGCAGCCAGGCCAGGGGCAGGCCGACAGCGATGAACAGGCCCAGCGAGATCAGAAAGGTGGCAAAATAGTGCACGGCGGAGCTGGCGGGGGCCATGGACACGCCGTACCCGACAATGCAGAGGGACGCGGCGGCGATCTGGTAGGGGCCGCGCAGCTGGTGGGTGTCCGACAGGCGGGCGACGACGAGGTAGCTGGCGGCGCCGAGCACGTAGCAGGGCACCGTCAACGCCTGCGACTGCGGCTTGGTCCACGTGCCGAGACCGCTCACGATGCTGGGCAGGAACACCGAGTAGCTGTACAGCATGGAGTTGACGCCAAACTGACCTGCGGCAAACAGCCAAACCTTCCAGTCCTTGACGGCCTTGAGGGCGTCGGCGCGGTCGAGCTCCTGGTGGAAGCCCGTCTGGCGCCGCAGCCGGGCCACGAGCAGGGCGCGTTCCTCGGCGCGCAGGAACCAGGCCGTCTGGGGCTCGTCGGCCAGCAAGAACCACATGGCCACGCCGAACAGGGCCGTGGGGATGCCTTCGAGAACAAACACCCAGCGCCAGCCGGACAGGCCGCGCGTGCCGTCGAGAAAGCCGATGCCGTAGGCCAGCAGACCGCCGCAGGCACCAGCGAGCGCCGAGCTGACAAACAGGTAGCCGATGCGCAGGGCGAGCTCCCGCTTGGTGTAGAAGAGCGTCAGGTACACGGTGAGGCCGGGGAACAGGCCGCCTTCGAGCAGGCCAAGGACCAGACGGCAGGCCACGAGCCCGCCAAAGTTTTGCACAAGGCCCATGAGGGTCGACACGATGCCCCAGAGAAAGGCCAGCATGGCAAGCCATTTGGACGGCGTGAACCTTTTGAGCAGCAGGTTGCTGGGCACTTCGACCAGGACGTAGGGGATGAAGAGGACGGCGACGGCGACGTTGTACTGGGCACCGACGAGCTGCAGATCGCGCTCGAGGCCAAACAGCTTGGCGTTGCCAATGTTGGTGCGGTCCAGGAAGCAGAGGAGATACGCGATCATGACGACGGGCACAATGTAGCGGTCCATCTTGCGGACGAGCGCCTTTTCGGCCTGGTGGTCAATGTCGACGTCAGCGGACCGTGTCTCGGCAACACCGACATTGATGCCTGTCCTCGCGAGCTCCTGCTCGTCGAGCGACGACCGTTGCTTGTCGTCCATGGTAGGACCAGGGAAGCGTAGGGAGGATGGGAGACGATGGACGAAGGATGATGGGCGATGGACAATGGACGAAATGAGAGAGACAGCGCAAGATTGGCGGTGGATGATGGAGACGGTAACAGGAAAGGAGCCGCTGCGGCAGCGCAAGATCTAGAGTCCAGAACGGGGATGCCATAAAGGGAAAGAGATGGTTCTTATATGAGATGAGTGTGGGAGGATGTGTCGATTGGCATGCCCTGGCTGGTCACGCGTCGATAGGGAAGCGTTGGATGGGAGTGCACAGGGCAGAGAGACCGGGGCAGGTGTATATGTTGGGGTTCGGGGAAAGTGGGATGACCGACTGTGCAGGAGTCTGGGGTCGGTCTGGGGTCGGTCTGGGGTTGGTTTGGGGCCGTGAACCATGATGCGCAGTCTTTAGTCTGTGGGAGTCGACGACAGGTAGAGAGCACAGACCAGAGTATACATCGATGCGGCAGAGCTGGGCCGAAACAATAGGACGTGGAACTGTCTCCTCGGCTGCACTCCCGATTGCCTGTTGGATGTCGAGCCCAAACCGCTGACAGGACCAAACGGGTCTAAAAGGCTGGGCAAGCACACGATGCAGGGCTGTGAGGGCAGGTGATTGCTGGATATGAAAGACAGGACCGGGGCTTAATCGTGCAGCCGCCAAGGTCTCCAAATTCGGGGAGATAACGTTAGTGAACTTTCCCAACTAGTACTTCTCTTTGTGATGTTGCGACTGGGTCTGTTCTTTTGCGAAGACAGCCAAGATCGACGGGAAAGCATGCTCTTGTGCTGTTTGAATAGAGTCAGTATTGGGTTTGCGTCACTCACATTCCTACTCACACGTTCTTTGTCACCTGTTAAACTTTATAGAGTATCATAAATGTGTCACTTTTGTAGTATTAAATTTACGTGTGAAAGCCTGCCTAACAGGTACAACAAGAATCCTAGTCTGTCATGTCTTGCACACTGCCTTCGCCTTGGCCTTGACTCGCCTCGCTCGCCTCGCCTCACAACTTGGCCGCCTCGGCCTGGAACCAGTTGACATACTCGTCCTCGAGCGACGGCGCAATGCCCGTGCTGGCGTCCACGGGCTCGCGGCCGCCGTTGAGCAGCGCCGCCAGCGCCGTGGCGGCGTGCTTCTCGGCGTCGTAGCCGTACACGTCGAGGACGGTCTTGGGGTCGCCGTAGAGGTTGCTGCTCTTGACAAAGTACTGGCCCTGCAGCTCGGGCGCCATGACGGCGTCGCGCGCCTGCTGGGCGGGGCCGTCGGGCAGGTGCCAGATGGCGCCGTTGAGAAAGGACACCTGCTGCTTGGCAAAGGCCTTGGGCATGCGCTCGCGCTCGTAGAGGCCGACGGCGGCGTCGAGCGGCAGCCGGCCCGCGACGACGGCGGCGATGCACGCGCCCAGAAAGGCGCCGTCCTCCATGGCGGTGGCGGCGCCCTGGGCCATGTGGTTGACCATGGCGTGGGCGGCGTCGCCGGCGAGGACGACGTTCTTGCGCGGCGAGGACCACGACGGCAGCGGGCCGGCGACCAGCAGCGGCCAGCGCGCGGTGCGGTCGATCATGCCGACGATGCGGCGGATGCGCGGGTCAAAGTCCTTGTACTCGTCACGCAGCTCGGCAAGGGGCACGTCGTGCTGCGTCGTGCGCAGCTTCTCGGGGCGGTGGTGCGACAGCACCAGGTTGAACATGGTGCCGGCGCAGATGGGGTACGTGATGATGTAGGCGTTGTCGGCCATCCAGACCTCCATGGTCAGCTTCTCGACGAGCGCGCGCGCCACGGGGTCCTTGCGGATCTGCTCGTACGGCACGATGGCGCGGTACGCGCAGTTGGTCGTCGGCGGCTCGGGCGCCGCGTCGGGGAACAGGGCCTTGCGCGTGGTGCTGTTGACGCCGTCCGCGCCGACGACCAGGTCGAACACAAACGTGCCGGCGCGGGACGCCACCGTCACCGACGGGCTGTCCGCGTACGCCAGCGCCGTGACCGCCGCGTTCACCAGCAGCCTGACGCCCAGCCGCTCGGCCACCTGGACCAGGCCCGCGTGCAGGTGCGCGCGGTGCACGACCCACCACGGCCGGTTCAGCGCCCGCTCGAGCGTGGCAATCTTTGTGTGGCCGACGGGCGTGCCGTCCTTGCGCCGCATGTTGAGCTCCTCGAAGCGCACGAGGTTGTCGCCGATTTCCTTGTCGACGCCCCAGCGCTGCAGCAGCACCGACACGTTGGGCGTCATCTGGATGCCGGCGCCAATCTCGCCGAGCTCGACGGCCGCCTCGAGGACTGTCACTTGGGCGCCGGCGCGCGCCAGCGCAATGGCCGTGGCCAGGCCGCCAATGCCGGCGCCGACGATGCCAATGTTGAGAGGGGGCATTGTGTGATGTATGTGAGGTGTGTGGTGTGTGGTGTGATGTGGATGGACGGTAGGTCGGTGAAGGAAGATGTGAACAGAATGAAAGACGTCGAATTGTTTGTATAGTCAGACCCAAGTGGGAAGAGCACTGATGGACACGGGCAACGAACAGGACTGCCTCTATTAAAAAGAATAAATATTGGATAAAACACTCGCCCACCTCGTCCACGTCGTCATGTACAGCTTCCGCTGCACGATTTTGGTGGCGTCGGCCGTTTCCAGTAAATAAAAGTGGAGGCCTGGTGTAAGTCGCAAGTGTGGCGCCGTCGGGGAGTTCGGGTCGCCTTTGCGGCTTCTGGACGCGGGCCGATGACGAGAGTGGCGTGTGATACCGAACTGGCAGTTGATCTGTTTGCCAAACACCTGTGACATACACGGAGCTATGGAGCACTGTCTACCTGTGAGTCTGTCTTCCGAGCTCCTCACCAATGGACACTCTGCTCCTTTGACCCGTGCATGTCCCATTCTGTATTTGCCTTCTTATCTATCGCGGTACAGGTACTCGTCTTCTAGTTTTCACTTCCTCTGTCCCTGAACTATCATCGACGTCTCCTTCTGTCGTCTTCACCCATTTGTATCCACCACCATGTCAACTACCACCCAAACACTCTTCGTCCCGCACCTCGGCGGCATCGACGTCGGCTACCGCCTGTCGCAGCCGGCCATTGACCGCGCCAAGCCCACCGTCGTGCTCTTCAACCCGTTCACGGCCACCGCCGACTACTACGAGCCCGAGTTCCAGAATGCGGACCTGTGCGCGTCTGCCAACCTGGTCGCCGTCGAGCCTTTGGGCCACGGCCGCACAATGGCCCGGTCGGGCGCCGGCGCCACGTTTACCTACTGGGACTCGGCGCACATGGCCCTGCAGCTGCTCGACGCGCTCGGGGTCGACACGTTCTTTGCCCTCGGCACGTCCCAGGGCGGCTGGATCGCTGTGCGCCTGGCACTGCTGGCGCCCACCCGCGTCTTGGGTGTAGTGCCCGTCGGCTCGTCCATGGATGCCGAGTCCGCCGAGAGCCGCGCGCTCGGCTGCTGGGACGGCCCTGCTGCTACCGCCGGTTTCGTGGCGCAGGCCGGCGCGCCCACTGCCGACACGGCCGCCGACGCGGACTTTGTGCCGGGCGACGGCTACTGCGACTTCTTGATGGAGATTGGCTTTGGCCCGACCGTGACGCCGGCCATCCGCGGCGTCTGGTCCAGGAGCCTTGCGCGCAACTACCACGGCGCGGCCGGCAAGCAGCGCATCATCATGGCCGCCGTGGCCCTCGCGACGCGCGACAGCCTGCGCGCACGGCTGCCGTGCGTGCGCTGCCCCGTGCTGTGGCTGCAGGGCACGGCCGACGCCGTCTTCTCCCTGCAGCAGGCCGCGGCCGACCTGCCTCTCTTTGCCAACGCGGCCGACGCGCGGCTGGTGCCGTGCCCCGGCGGCGTGCACTTTCTGAGCCACACGCACAAGGACGTACTGCACCGCGAGCTACTGGCCTTTGTGCACAACTGGACGCGCGGGGCCTGGGCGCAGTTATAGGGTGGGCGATGATGGGTAGCTTTTGTCGAGCATATGTTTTATAGTCATTGCTATCAGTCGTTTCTGCTAAAGAAAGAAAAGAAAAGAAAAAGCTCAAGATTTTGCCACGACCTGTTTCGTTTCTTCTGCTGGGCACGCACAAAACTACAGAACGAAATTGTAACAGACCTCTTCTCCCTCCTTGTCCGCTGGGAAGTCGTCGACTACATAGTCTGGCGGCTGTTGCCCCGTTCTCGTCGGTGCACTCATCTGGACCGTTTAAAACAGAATTTGCGAGGGTTTGTTGACAGGACAGTAGCGAGGATGCAGGGGAGAGGGGAGAGGTGATGCGATGCAACTTCAGCCACGTTATGTAGCGGTAGGCATTGGCGCACACCAGCCACATACGCCCCATCCGTCTTATTACTTTACAGTATGCTATCCTTGCTGGGATATTGGCTCGGCAAAATATATGGACAACACAAAGGCTTAATTAAGACTTGTAGCAGAAAGTAACTCGTATACAGTACGTTTTCCTGGTCAGAGGAACAGCACTACGACACAACTGCCTTGGACCAAACGTCACGAGTAGAACAGTGCATTCTTCAACTGTGTACTCCACATACTCTCTTCTCACGATTCATCGATTGCATGTACCAAACCAAGGCCAAGAGAGCTTGCGTATTAGTGCACGTCTATCTATTAGGTATGTACTCGTAAGTCTAAATCTAGGTGACAATCTTGAGAGTCTCGCTGAGGGGCAGCTTGGCAGGCTTCGCCGGGTGCTCGCCCGCCTCCTCGCCAAAGTTGATGTGCGCCTTCAGCGAGTAGTCGGCGGGCAGGCCCAAGAACGCCTGCAGCGCCGTCGACACGCCGGGGAAGATACCGAAGTGCTGTAGGTTGGCGCCGAAGCCCTCGAGCTCCAGCGCCGTCCACGTGAGAATCTGCGCAATGGCACTGGCGTGCTCCGCGAACTGGGGCAGCGCCTGGGCGGCCATCTTGTGTGTCTCGCGGGCGTCGTCCAGGGCCTTGTCGCTGACCCAGAAGAGCACCGACCCGTAGGCGCTCTTGTGGCCCTCGAACCTAGGCCGCATCGCGTCCCAGACGCCGGGGCCGGCCTGTTCGAGGACGGGCTGGACCGTGTCGATGATGATCTGCCAGAGCTGCTTGTGCTTGGGGCCCAAGACGATGGTGACGCGGTCGACCTGGGCGTTGTACGGCGACGGGTTGGAGGACAGCACCTGCTTGACAATCTCCTCGATGCGGGCGTCGGGGACGTGCGACGTGTCTTTGAGGGTGTAGACGGTGCGGCGGTACGCGGCGGCGCTGAGCCACTGGTCGGTGGTGAGGTTGGTCGGAGGGGCCATTGTGGAGGGATATTTGGGTTGACAAGTGGGATGTGTGTGGAGTGCGTTGCTGAGCTGTGGAGGATGCAGTGATGGCGGATTCTCTCGACCTCTTTGTTGAGATTCGAACGCGGCCATCATATACGTCGTCGCTATGCCATGGACGCTACGCGAGACACCGCTCGAGACGACGCTCCAGACCGTGCCCAGGACCAGAGCACCTCCATCGTCGTATGCCGCAAAATGAGCAAGCCGTCACGGAGTTTCACGGCCAAGCGCTTGCAGGTTCGTCCATGCCGTAATCTACCGTCTATGCTGTACCTATTTCGCTATTGCACATTACTAATTACGACATTTCTCCTGGCGACGGCATGGCTATAAAAATGCGCAAAGGAAAAAAACATCTCAAAGCCATCACAAAGACCGTCTTTCCTGCTGTCCGTCCGCGTCGTCCGTCGTTTCATCTCGGCCTTCGTCCGTCACGGCCCCTAATCCCGGTCTGTTGGTTGTTAGTCGATTTTTCAGCCCATCGTTTTTGTTGTCCTTCGTCCGATTTCCGTCCGCACTAGCCGCGCAATCTGCACCGACTACGCCGTCTTGACAATACAGTCTAATTTTATCCACAATTGTGGCTGCTTTCGACCATTATTCGTCCGCATGGACCGTATCATTGTTGTCCCGCACGTCAAATTGAAAAAGACGCATTGACCTGGTTGGCGCGAGGCCTTGATGCGAGGCCGTGATGTCAATAATTGCCAAAAAACGCCGCAAAAGACGCGATATGGAAGAGCGACGACGGAAAGTGGCCATGGCTCGTATTCGTCTCCTGTATTGGCTACCCTCTTTCCTTACGAAGCATTTCGTAAAGCGCATACAGCTCGTCCTCGGTCGTAGACTGCCGGATTTTGTCTCCGTACGGCCAAACGAACACGGCCTACGGCATTGTTGCGCCTTTTTCTCCGTGCAAACAACAGTGGTGCCATGGCCACAAACCCGCAGGAGGTCATTGAACATGATCGAAATATGGACCTGAGCCATAAAAGGGCCCGTCTTGGTGTGCAGCGGCTTGTTTTCGGTGACTTTTTTGGCATATAGAGCTCTGACTTTGGGATTATTTATAATATTGGTCAGGCGGGGACTGACGGCCAACGGTGTCTCGTCTATTTACTAAGCAGGGCTGTTGATCGCAATAACAAAAACAACCCAGGAAGACGTGTCATAAATGGAAACAAAATGCACCAATAGATGCTCGAGTTAACATGTGAAAACACCCGAACAGACGCACCTCTTTAAACGTCTCCCCTCCCTCCCCCACCCAACTAAGAGACACACATCCCTATTTGTTGGACGTCACGCCGCCTAAGAAAGAGAATAGACGGCAAGGGCAACGATAGCAGAAAGAACAGGCTGCACTTGAAAAGTAAGAACGATCAAGAGGCGAGTCAAAGGCCAGCTGTCCAGTCATACACTTCAACGAGGCATATCAAAAAGCTCACATCGTCTCTTCGTATTGCCAATCTATCACAAATTTGAACACAATCGTAGCACATAATCATTGCACATAATATTTTAGAGTCACATAGCTCCTCGTTGGTACGCACAAAGATGGTGTACTGCAATATCCGACCACAGTGGTCAACGGGTCACGTGAGCAGACCACAGGTCTAATAGTACTGCTGTTGCCAATTCACGCGGCAAGTTCGTAATGGCAAACTCGACATGCCCCAGGTTCCAGTCTGGACTGACATCAACTATTTCTCTCATTGTCTTGAAAGGTATTATGATCTGAGGGCTGCGGTTTGTCATTTTGTCACCATTCACTCTCACAATCCACTCAGCCCTCTGCGGAAGCGCTAGCGGATGCCAGGAACCGGAACCCCGCACATCAGAACCCAAATCCGACAACAAGTGGCGTATTTGCCGACTCTCGCCGACTAATACCAGGTCTTGCCTGTTTTGGGGTGCATACGTCGCTTCCTAACTCCCCGGTGGCTCACCGTCTGCGCCTTCCTCCTGATTGCCGTCTAATTCCCATGCAATCGAAGCCTGCGTCGTGCCTTCTCTTTTGCCACGAGTGGTACTCTGTACTTTCCTGCGGCGAACCCTGTAGCTTCCCCCAACGTCATGCCCAGTTTCTCCATGTTGCGGGGAAGCAAAATGCGGAGAGGAAGGTGCGCAACCACGTTCTTTCCATCTCTGGAGTAGGGCGGAAGCATCTCACAGTTGACATTCCTCTGCATCCTTTTGACCTTTTCCTCTCTTGCATACTCCAATACCCGACATCCTTTCGCCCATCACCTTAAAAACTCCCCGTTCTCCTCTCGCTCCACATTTCCCTCACTCCCCGATGCGAAACGCGCATCCGTCGTCCGATGCTACGCTTCACCTAAACCACTCCATGACTTGTGTTCACTAAGACCATTTCACTCTGCACTCTGCACTCTGTCCGGCAGCACGACCAGTGCCACATACTGGGAGCAGTGACGGCACGGGTGCTTGTCTCCGTGCCATTTCTGACAATGGCGGGTCCTGCGTCGTCCCCAAGCCGGCGCCTGGCGTCCACAGCTCGGCCTGGGTCCCGGCCTAGTCTACGGGGACAAGCGGCACAGCAATTGAGTTCATCGTCACAACAGGCACAACAGTTGCTGCCACATCCGCAACATCAACTCGCCGCCGGCCAATCTCCACAGTCGACGTCATCGGCCGCGGCCCCACCCAACAAACGCCGCCGCGTGGCACTCGCCTGTGGCAACTGCCGGCACCGCAAGTCCCGCTGCGATGGCCGCCGTCCGCGCTGCTCGCTGTGCACTGAGCTGGGCTGCGAGTGTGTCTATGAGCAGGCGGGTGTGGCGAACAACCTGACCGTGGGCCGGTCGTATCTCGAGCGACTGGAGCAGCGACTGGCGGATATTGAGTTGCGTCTGGCGCAAGTCAAGGCCGACAAGACCGAGGCACCAACGCCAAGACGTAACAAACGGTCTCGGAACGACATTGGCGATGACGACGACGACGACGACCGCGATCATGACAATGGTCCAGGTCGCGATACCAACGAGGAAGGCGGTGTTGGCCAAGATGGCACAGCGGGCAGCGTGGCAAGTTCACAAGCTGCGACAGCAACCACAGCGCCAGCCACCACGGCAACAGCAAACAACTCATCTTCCGCAACCGCTGACGGTTCCACCACAGCTGCGTCCACAAACGGCACCTATGGCGTCCCCGACACGGCCGAGGACTCCATCGACGGCATGGGCGCCATCAAGTTCGCCGACGAGGAGGACTGGGGCTACTTCGGCCCCAGCAGCAACATTGCGTTCCTTCGCCACATCTCCCTCGCCATGGCCCGCATGGACGACCTGCACCAGGCCATGCCCTCGCCCACCAGCCGCGCCCACGAGGTCGCCGGCGGAATGAGTGTGTCGCGGCCAGCAGGCGGAGGCGGTGCGCGCCGCGGTGGGCATGCCCATGGCACGACGACGCCGCCGACCATGGCCCCCGTCAACATCTATGCACTGCCCTCGGAGGCGCGCACCTGGAGCCTGATCCGCGAGTACTTTCAAAAGACGGGCCGCCTGTTGCCCTATGTGCACGAGGCCACCTTTTGCGCCACCTACTTTGCCCTCAAGACCAGCAACTTTACCAGCGCCCGCCGCACCTGGCTCGGCCTGCTCAACATCATCCTCGCCATGGCCACCACACTCCACGTCGACACGTCCGTGTCGGCCGAGCGCCGCATCGCCGAGTCCGACGTGTACTACCAGCGGGCCAATGCGCTGTGCGACGACAAGGAGGCCCGCCGCAACATGAGCCTCGAGCTGGTACAGTACCTGCTGATCCTGGGCCAGTACCTGCAGGGCACGCAAAAATCGGTGCAGGCCTGGACGGTGCACGGCCTGGCCATTACGACGGCGCTGCAGCTGGGCCTGCAGTCGCCCAAGACGAACCGGGCCTTCCCGCCGCTCGAGTGCGAGATCCGCAAGCGCGTGTGGTTCGGGTGCATCCTGCTGGACCGGACGCTGTCCATGACCTTTGGACGGCCCGCCATGATCCACGAGAGCTACTTGACGCTGGAGCTGCCCATCACGGACATGCAGATTGTTGGGCAAGACGACATGCAGACCGACACGGAGCCAGCTGCCATGAACGCGTCGGCATCGCCCTCCGCTACCACCACCCCCCAAATGGACGGCCTGTACTTCACGGCCACCATCAAGCTCTACAACGTTTTGCACCACATCATCGACACCTGCTACGGCCAGAACCTGGGCCTCGAGGAGCCGGTGCCCTCGTTGCCCACCTTGCCCTCCTTGCCCTCCTCGCGACAGTATGCCGACTACTCGGCGCTCTTTTCGCATGTCTTGCGCGTCGAGGCCGAACTCGAGGCCTGGAAGGCCCAGCTGGCGCCCAACCAGCTGTCTGTGTACGACGCGCCCGTGGGCCCCAAAGACTTGGAAGGAATCGAGGCCGACGACAAGATCTCGGCACGGTATGTCGTCGTGCTCTCGGTGCGGTACCACAACCTGCAAATTCTGTCCCACCGGCCCATCCTCGAGAAGCTACTGGAGACATGCGGGAGCAAGAGCCAACGGCCACAGCCAGGAGCCAACACGTCGTTGTCCACCACGTCCACTTCTTCTTCGTCTTCTTCTTCTTCTTCCTCATTTTCATCTTCCACGTCCAAACTCCTCCAGATGGGCCTCGGAAGCGTCGAGGCCTGCATCCACTCTGCCCAGGCCATCATCTCCCTCGTCCACACCATCGTCCTGGCCGACGGACCCCGGCGCGATTTGCTGGGTGCCTGGAACTTTTCGCTCTTCTACACCTTCAACGCCGCCCTCGCCATCTTTGCCGCCATGCACGTGGCACGGTGTGACGTGCAAAGGCAGGTCGGCGACGCGGACCTGGCGGCCTCGTCGGCCACGCTGAGCAGGCTGCTCCCGCGCTGGGAGTTTGTCGAGGCCGCGTTGCCGTACTTTGGCATGGCCATCGAGGCGCTCGAGAACCTGGACCGCGGCAACCGCGTCGTCGAACGGTGCGTCAGCTACCTGTCGCAGCTCGTGCTCGTGCCCATCAATCCGAGTCTCGGCGGTGGGGGAGGCAACGGCGGCATCCCCCAAGGCGGTCCGCACACTGGGCATGCGGTGCCCGCTGGCCCGTATGGCGTTCAAAATCCGAACGAGACTCATACTCAAAATGAGAGCCGAATGCAAGGCCAATCGCAGAGCCAGAGCGAGGGCCAGAGCCAGAGCCAGAGCCAAGGACCAACTGGATACGTCCAAGGATATCCATCGCACCCCGGCAATATGCATTCCCATCCGCATCTCATGACAATGGCCATGGGTACTGGCCCAGGCGGTGGTCCCGGTGGCCATGGAGGTGCCAGTGTCTTTCCACGGCCGCCACAACAGCTCCTCCCGATGGAGATTGATCTCAACGAGTTTATGCTCGACACGGACTTTGACCTGCTCAACATGGCATGGCTGTCGTCGTGATGGGGGTAAAATACTGTATGTTGGATGTAAGATGAACGATGACCGTTAGGGATGCTATTCGGTATGGTACCATACAACCATAAAGGCTATGGCTATGATAATACGACACGCTATGCGAGGTATTGGTCGCACAGAATTCGTCTCCACCGTCTTCAACATGCCAGACCTGCATTTGCTTCCGTCCTGGAATGCACCTGCAGCCTTCACCTGAAGTCGACTCCTCCCTCCTGCAACCACTGTGGATCTAGGACCAATCTCCCTGGCGCGGTTGATCCCGCTCTTCCGTACCTGGACATGTCTCGCTGCGATGCGCGAGAAACACTTCAGTGAGCTGGTCAGTGTCGCTGAGAACCGTAATCAAGGGAGACGTTTGCTTTCTTGTGCTTATAACCCCCGTATGTATTTTTCTCATTGTTTTTCCTTTTAACGAGCGCGTCGCAAATGGCGAGGCATTCCGTAGCCCCTTGATCCCAGGGAGCAACTGAGATGAAAGCAGAAATTTGAAAAGGGACACCCGTTGGGAGAAGAAGTAAAAGCAACGACAGACGGCGAAAATAATTATTTGACGCAAGGGATGACGACTTTTCCCAAAATTCGGTGATGCACGGCGTATTCTGTCATCATGCTCACAAGACCGCCCGGTCGCGCCTGCCCTATCCAATACTGTGTAATTGCCTTGTCGTACAGCCTAAAGTTCGTGCGTCGGCTGCTCTTTCCTGCTATGCACCTGCCTTGAAATATGTACGCTTCCACTGTAAAAAGTGGGGACCTTTGCCTGCTTGGGTCCTTCCTAATGGTGGGGCCTTCTTAGGCCGAAACTACGACGCAGCAGACAAGCTCCTGCTGTCTCAACTGTCTGAATTGCCTCCTCGAGACGTCTGCCCTTTTCTTCATTCCTCCCATCCAAAGACCACAAAACACAAGCACTCGACCCCAACACAATAAATACAGAACACACGCCAGCGTATCTCCCTTGCACGCGCACCCGACGCTCCCTACGGCCGACCGATATCTCGTCCTTTCGTCTCATCATCAGACAACGCCCTGCATCGCCTACATCGTCCTCAACGTCAGCCAACTTCATCACGACCTATCTTCGCCACCTGCATTCTGCTCCCTCATCACGGCCACCCGTCCCAGATTGCGTCTGCCTCGACCTGTTCCTCGGCTGGGCCACCTCCGATGACGGGTCTACCGCCATGGACCGCGACGACGCCGCCTCCGTGTCCCAGCCTACGCGCGGCGCGGTGACCTCGTCTTCGCTCTCGACATCATCATTGTCGTCCGCATCGCCTCCCCCGGCGTCAGCATCTGCCTCGCCAACGGCGCCCACTACCACACCCATTGCTGCCACGGCCGCACCCCTCGCTCGCTCCGTCTCGCAGACGTCGGCGGCCTCGTCCACGCGCAGCCACCGCTCCATACGACGAGGCGGCGGAGGCGGCAGCCGCCGCACCAGCAGCCGCGTACCCACGCGCTCGTCGTCACAGAACCCGCAGCCGCACGCCGGATCCAGCTCGGCCAGCGTAACCTCGGAGGACAATAAGTCGCTGACGTCGTTCCCGTCCTTTTCGCCCAAAGCGCCGTCAACCGCATCGCCGCCGCTGTTGCCAACGCCACAACGGCCTCGTCTGGCTGGTCCGACGGCCTCGACGGCGTCGCTTGTCGACAGTCTGTTGGCCGACGACGGCCGGGCGCTCCTCCCTGTCACGGGTCCGTCCACGTCTACGGCGTCGACGTCGTCTGTCGCCGCTGCGGTCCCACCAGCCGCCTCGTCGTCGTCGTCCGCCGCCGCACGCAGCGCCCTCTTTGACGACAGCGACGCCCCCGCCATCAACTACGGCGACCTGCACCTCGCCGACGACGCCCACATCGCCCGCCTCGTTGGTAAGCACGGCGCCATCGCTCTCGTGCGCCAGCTGGCTGAGGACCTGGCCCGCCGTGACACGCAGGTGGCCGCCCTGCGCGCCCGCGCCGCCGACCGCGAACGCTTCCTGCGCAAAATCATTCTAGAGTGCGGTCTGTCGAGTTTGGACCTGGCCACGCGCCTCCGCGCGCTCGAGCAGGAGCAGGAGGCGCGCCTGGCTGCGGCGGCCGCCAACACGTCCATCCCGGCGTCGCACGCCCGTCGCGTGTCCGATCTGCTCGGCGACGCCATGTCCGACGACCACAGCCCGCGGCAAGTCAGCAGCGACTACTACTACAACGACGCGACCATTCGGGCGGCGTCGGCGGCGTTGGCGTCGTCGTCATCGACTCTGAAAACGAAAAGCAATGGAAACAACAAGACGGCCACGTCGGCCGGCACGACCAAGGGCTGGATGGACTACCTCTGGGGCGGCACGACGAAGAAAGCCGGCAGCGGCAGCGGCGGCGGCGGCGCGCAGACGCCTCCGACACAGCCAAGCACACAACGAGGGACGGCGACCATTCGTGTGACATCAAGTGGCGAGCGGCGGCCGACCATTCGCGACGACCTCTTCCAACCGCCGACGGCACCGACCGATGCAGCGGCTCCCACAGATGCCACAACAGACGACAGCACACGGCCGACCCGCAGCACCAGCCGCGCGTCCAGTGTCGCCTCGGCTGCCACATCGCAGTCGGGACGCAAGCCGTCCTTGGCGAGCCTCGCTCTGCGTCTTGTGGGCGGCGGCAGTGACACACCGCAGGACTCTGGCGACAGCACGTCCGCCTCGGCAGCCGCGTCTCTGCGTAACGCGTCAGGCGCTGCCAACCGCCGACCTGGACCACCATCCACCACTCTTGGTCGCTCAACACGAGCCTCCACTCTCCAAAGTGGCAACAACAACAACAGCAACAACAACGGCGGCAGCGTCGGGTCCAAGTCGCTCATGGCCATGCGCCGCTCCACGTCGTCCGCCGTCCTCAACGGCGCCGGAGCCGTGGCCGCACTCAATGGCAGCGCCGCGCCTCAGGCGATCCCGAGCCGCGGGGTCGGCGGCGCAGGTGCCGGCAAAAACAAGACCAATGGCAACGGCCACAAGCACCAGGGCAGTGGTGGTGGCGGCGGCGGCGGCGGCAGCGGTGCCGCCAACGAGCGCTGGGGCGGTGAGATGATGGACGCCAGCCCGTCCAGCGACGGGGCCGCTATGCGTAGGACGACTTACTTCCCGGTCGAGATGGACACGATCCTGCCGCTCGACGTCCAGCCGCCCACTCTGACCCACATGTACAACCGCTACAACAGCTCGGGCCACTTGATTGACCGCTTCGGCTTCATCTACGACCAGCGCCGCAAGAAGCGCCAGCGGGAGGCCGCACAGGTCGCCCAAGTGGCGCGCCATGCCAAACGCGGCAGCCGCCACTCGGAGATGCTCGACACCGCGGGCGGGCGTGTCAGCCGCAACGGCCGTCCGTCACCACCACACGTTGGCGGTGGTGATGACGACGATGCAGTGGACACGGCGGTCCGCGTCCCCGACGATGACCAGGCCAGCACGGGCGACGCCAGTTCGCTCAAGAACGACAGCATCAATGACCACGACGCAGATAGTACACACCGCCCGCCCAGTATGAACTTAGCCTCCACACCAGGACCCGACAAGGACTCTCAGACGTCTGCTGCGCCCGGCGGTGGTCCGAAGCGCTGGCAGGATTACCTCAAGATCGCCACCTTCCCGACTGAGCTTCTCTCTCACACGCCCGCCATGAACGACACGCGCATCGAGGTCATTACGGAAGACGGCAGCAGCACGTTGTCTGGCGATGTCTCGGGTGACGCGGCCGGGCCCAAGTCGCCGGGCTTTATTACCTCGGACGGCCGCGGCTTTGTACCGCCGTCGACAGGCGCCATGGCAGCCGCCACGACTGCGGCCACGACGACAAGCACGACCGCCGGCGCTGCCGCTGTCGGCCTCGACACGGACTCCATCGCGTCGAGCACCAACACCGCCGACACGGCTGCCGATCAAAAGAAGCTCACAAAGAGACGGCCTGCACTGTCGTCGCAGGCGGAGCCGCCAACGCCCGCCAAAGAAGACGTCGAGCCCGTCCGTCTACTGCTCCAGCAACTCAGCGATCTGCACGATACACTCCAAAAAGAGCGCACTGTCCGCTGGAACGAGTTCTTGCGCAAAGTTCGCGCCGAGCGCCGCCGCGAGGGCGAGATGATGGCCTTGGCCGCCGCCGAGAACATCCACAGCGGCAGCAGCAGCAACGGCGGCGGCGGCGGCGCCAAAGCGACCATGGCGATGGCCCGGGCCAGCATGCCCGAGACGCGCCTGGCCGACGGCGAGATTGTCGGCGTCGCTGGCCTCGGCAACAAGGGCAAGCTCGGCCGCGCCAAGTGGAACGAGTTCCGAGCGCTGGTCCTGGGCGGCATCCCCGTCCTTTTGCGCGCCAAGGTCTGGTCCGAGTGCACGGGCGCCACCAGCCTGCGCGTCCCTGGCGCCTACGACGACTTGGTCGCGGGCCGTGATCCGGCCACCGATGCCGAGGACCCCGACGTCGTGGCCCAGATCCAGGCCGACATCCACCGCACGCTGACCGACAACATCTTCTTTCGCGAAGGCCCCGGCACCGCCAAGCTCAACGAGGTGCTCCTGGCCTATGCCCGGCGCAACCCGGACGTCGGCTACTGCCAGGGCATGAACCTGATTGCGGCCAACCTGCTGCTCGTCACCCCCTCGGCCGAAGACGCCTTTTGGCTGCTAGCGAGCATCGTCGAGACCATCCTGCCCGTCGGCTACTACGACCACTCCCTCGCGGCCAGCCGCGCCGACCAGCAGGTCCTGCGCGCGTACGTCGCCGACGTGCTGCCGCGCTTGTCGGCGCGCTTTGACGCGCTGTCGATTGACCTCGAGACCATGACCTTCCAGTGGTTCCTGTCCGTCTTCACCGACTGCCTGTCCGCCGAGGTGCTGTTCCGCGTCTGGGACGTTGTCTTTTGCTTGAATGACGGCAGCGTCTTCCTCTTCCAGGTCGCCCTCGCCCTGCTCAAGCTCAACGAGGCCGCCCTGCTGCGCTGCGAGACCCCCGCCGAGATCTACACCTACATCAACCACCAAATGACCAACCACGCCATCAGCATCGACGGTCTCGTCCAGGCGTCCGAGGCGCTGCGCAAGCTGGTGCGCCGCGAGGACGTCGAGGCCCGTCGGGCCGTGGCCATGGACGCCGAGCGCGCACTCGTGGCCGCCCGCGCGGCCGCCGTGGCCGAAGCCAAGGCGATGCGGCAGCAAAAGCTGGCTGCCCGCGACACGGCGGCGGCCGCGGCTACGGAGACGGCAGTGACAACGCCAGCCGACGCGGGATCAACCAACTAGAATTTTTCGCGTGTCCCCCAATCACCGTCCTTTTGTGTGTCTTATTTTTCTTGTTTCGTGGCGGTCGTGTTGTCTGTTTTTGTTTGGGCTGCATTGTTGCTGGTTTACTACTTGGTGTTTGTTGTACTCTGCTGTTTCCTCGCATTCGTCGTTTTCCTTCATCTCGCCTAGACCTCACTGATACCCCCGGTTCTTCACAGTCATTCCCTTGCTTCTTGCCGTTCTGTCATTGCGTGTTTTTGTGGCTTGTGCCTGCATTGCACATGTGTATTTCGCTCGCATCATCGGTTCTCCGGAGTTGGTTACGATTCTCTGCACTTCTTGGCACATGCAAAACGCCAGTATATACCATCGCATCGTTGGGTCGTTTTACCATCATGGTGTGCTCACTGCACCGCATTTGTATACTCTATACATATTTGAATACATGAATACATATATGAATGCATCTGTTTGTGCGCAAGATGGAATCCCAAACGTGACATAGTATTCAGTCAAAATCAATATGAAAAGCAACGCTTCCGTGTCCATGTCCAGTATATAAGTACAGTTGGCCTTCGTGGCCTCGTTGCCCTGCGTCGTGCGGCCATCCCATCTACTTCACCTTGCTCATGATTGTCTCGGGGCCCCGCTCGACGTAGATCTGCGCCGCTTGTGCCTTGACAATGTTGAGCATGCTGCGCTCAAAGTCGTCGCGCGCGCGCAGCACGGCCTCCACCCAGCTGATCTGCAGGTCCCAGTAGGCCGTCTTGAAGGCAATAAAGGCCTCGGCGACGCCGTCCTTGCCGACGGTCAGCAGCGCCAGGAACTGCTCGGTGACGCGCCAGGTCTGCTTCAGGCTGCCGGCGGCCTCGGCGGTGGGCATGGAGTCGAAGAGCTCAAAGACGGCGGCGACGTCGGCAAAGATCTGGTCCTGGAAGGGGTCGGCGCGCTTGAGCTTGGCGCCCTTGTTGCGGACGGCGGAGAGGTAACGGACGAGCAGCTCGTCCGAAAAAATCTCGACAAAGACATCGACGAGCGAGTAGTGCAGGACCTGGCGGTAGTCGGTGACGTACTCGTCGACGGTGGCGACCATCTGCTTCATGCCCGTGGCGGCGCCGTACCAGCGCGGGGTGAAGAAGTCGGGCATGACCGCCTTGAAGTCGACCACGAAGATGAGCGACGCGAACTTGGTCATGCACCAGGTGCTCAGGTCGACGTAGCCGTCGCGCAGGGCGGCCACCTCGGCGTCGACGCGCTCCATGTACTGCGCCGACACGAGCGGCTCGATCTTGTCGCGGAAGCTGGTGAGGTAGGAGATGCGGCTGCCACCACCGGCTGCACCGGCTGCACCACCCGCACCCGCGGCGTCGTCGTCGCGGTCGTCAATGCTGGCAATCTGGTCGTTGGCCGACGCCACCAGCCAGTCCTGCAGGGCCTGGTAGCCCTCGAGCTCCGGCACGCGGCCGGCCTCGTAGCGCTGCGCCTCGTCGTCGAGCATCTTCTGGACGGCCTGCTGGCGCGTGCGCAGGCGCAAAAACATGGCGTCGACGACGCCCTCGACGACGTCGGTGCGCTGGGAGTTGGCGGCGACGTCAATCTGCTCGCGCAGCATGCGCCACAGGTCGACGAGGTTGCGCGTGCGGAAGTAGCCGTACTCGTCCTGGTCCAGGTTGGCGCCCTCGACGGCGGCGCGCTCGGCAAAGTCCTTGCGCTCCTGCTTGCCGATGCGTTCGATCCACTCGTCGAGGAACTTGATGATGAGCTGGCGGAACTCGCGCACGAGCTCGGCCTCGCGGTTGTCGAGCACGTGCGGCGCCAGCGCGGCGTCGTCCTGCGGGAAGCCGAGCTTGGCCATCTTCTTGTAGTACTTTTCGGGCCAGCTGATGATTTCGAGCGTGTGCGCGGAGCTCGTGTCCGGGTCGTCGACGAGGGCGACCAAGAAGTCGTGCATCATCCGGTGGTAGATTTGCGTGTACGTGCGCATAATGTTCCACTTCTTGGGCATCAGCGGCACCATGCCGAGGCGCACGGCGTTGAGGTCGTTGAAGTACCAGCGCAGCTCCTTTTCGAGGCGCGACGGATCGTCGAGGAAGGCCTCGCGCGTCTGCGCGAACTGGGCCTCGGCGTACGCCTCGATGGCCTGCAAAAACTTGCCCTTGTAGCCGCGCACCGTCTTGGCGCCGTCCGTGATGCCCTGGAAGCGCGAGGCAATCTCCTTGTGGTCGCGCATGGCGTCCTGCAGGGCCTGCACGCGCTGGTCGCTCTTCTCCTCGGCCTCAATGACCAGCGCAAAGCGCACGACCAGGTTGTTGTTCTCGGCCGTCACCAGCGTGATGAGGCTCGTGGCCACGAGCCCGACGTGCTCGTCGAACCAGTCGATGGCGCCGTCCAGGCGCTCAAAGTAGTCCTCGAGCGTCGACTGCAGGCTCGTGTCGTCGGCGCGCTGGATCTGCTCCATGGCGTCGTCGCGGATGTTGCGCAGCTGCGTCAGCTCGTAGTGGATGGGCAGCAGGTTGGGCATGTTCTCCTGGTCGGCGTCGTCGGCCCGCAGCATCTGCTCGACGACGCTGAGGCGGTCGTTGAAGGTCTCGAGGTTGCGCCGCATCGCCTCGACGGCGCCAAAGTTGCGGTGCGCCTGCGACACCTGGTTGATGGTCGCAAAGTCCTTGATCATGTTCTGGCTCTCCGAGCACAGCTTGTCGATCTGCATCATCTCGTCCTTGATCTGCTGCACCGCCTTCTGGCCGTCCGACAGCCCCGTCATGCCGCTCTGCGTCGTCTCCAGCTGGTCGCGCAGCCCCGCCCGCAGCTGGCTGTCGACGGCCGCCTTCTTCCGCGCAAAGTCGAGCTTGAGCGTTGCGATCTTGTCGAGGTCGTCGGGATGCCGCAGCAAGTCTGCGAGCTTCACGAGCGGTGCGTCCATGGTGGAGCTGACGCGGGTGGGGGGCGGAGGGCGAATGGAAGAGATTGTCGTTGTCGTCGCCGTCGTTTCGTCAAATCAGACCATCGCCAGCGAGGGCCGACCGGATGTGTGTCGTGCTTGTATTGTTTTTGTATGTTTGTATGTCGTCGTGGAAGAATGAAGCCAGAGGTCGACAGGTTGGCAGTCGCGATGGATGGCTGAAAGTGGAAACAGCGTGTCAACCACTAAGCTGCATGCTGTGTAATTGCATAGCGGGGCGCAAGACAACAGCGCCTCAGCAAGTGAGCTCCAATGTCAAAATAAAGCGTGTTCTGATTCTGAAAAAGAATTGTACGTTCTTAACTATTGTTATGAGTAATTAAGATGCAAATTGAAACCAAAATACCGATTGTGGTCGAGATGAGCCAACTCAACTTCATGTGATGTCCACTGGTAAGCTGCCAGCGAGTTATGTTCCGGAACATCCACTAATTATAGCGCTCGTTAGGCGTCTCAGCTCACATCTCACCTGTCAAGGTCGCATTGTATATCTCTTTTATATTTCTCTATTGCTGCTACTTTATGCTTCTCTTAGATTCATGCAACTCATCGTCCCTTCACAGCTCGCCCTATTTCAACGTCACCAGCTCCTCGGCGCTCGTCGGGTGGATGGCCACGACGTTGTCAAAGTCCTTCTTGGTGGCGCCCATCCGGATGGCCACACCAAAACCCTGCAGCATCTCGCCGCTGCCGAGGCCGGCAATGTGCAGGCCGACGACCTTCTCGTCCTTGCCGGTTGTGACCAGCTTGTAGGCTGTCGGGCGCTTCTCGTCGGGGTCCATCATGGCGTAGTACATGGCGGTAAAGTTGGTCTTGTAGACCTTGACGTTGTCCTTGCCAAACTTGTCAACGGCCTGGGGCTCCGTCAGGCCAATGGAGCCGACCTCGGGGTGCGCAAAGACGACGCTGGGAATGTTTGTGTAGTCCTGGTGCAGGGTGGCAAACTCCGGCCCGCCAAAGAGGCGGTGCGCGAGCTTGCGGCCGGCGGCGATGGCGACGGGGGTCAGCTCGACGGGGCCGGTGACGTCGCCGAGGGCGTAGATGTGCTCGGCAGTCGTGTTCTGGAACGCGTCGACCTTGATGAAGCCCTTGTCGGCCAGCTCGACGCCGTGCTCCTCGAGGCCAATGTCCTTGGTCAGCGGCGTGCGGCCAATGGCCCAGATCAGGTGGTCGACGTCCGCCAGCGTCTGGCCGTCGCCGTAGGTCAGCGTCAGCTTGCCCGTGGCGGCGTCCTTGTCGACGCGCGTCAGCTGCGTTTCGCGGTGCACGTGCACGCCGAGGTTCGCGTAGTTGTCCGTCACGGTCTCCTGGATGAGCGGGTCAAAGGTGCGCAGAAACGTCTTGCCGCGGATGAAGAGGTGCGTCTCGGTGCCCAGCGCGTTGAACATGCCGGCAAACTCGACGGCAATGTAGCCGGCGCCCACGATGGCGACCTTCTTGGGCTGCGTGGCAATCTCAAAGAAGCCGTCCGAGTTGGTGCCGTGCTCGGCGCCGGGGATCGCCGGCGGATCCGACGGGCGGCCGCCGACGGCCACCAGAATCTTCTTGGCGCGGATCGTCACCTCCTTGTGGCCGGCCTCGTCGGCCTCGTCGAGCGCCACCGTCACCTCGTTGCGGCCCGTCAGCCGCGCCCAGCCACGCACGTACTCGACCTTGTCGTTGCCGAGGTTGCGCTCGTAGATGCCGTTGAGGCGCTTGACGTAGGCGTCGCGCTTGGCCTTGAACGTCGGCCAGTCAAAGGGCTTGGTCTCGGCGACGGAAAACCCGTACGCCTTGGCCTCGTGCAGCGCCTCGGCAATGGCGGCCGCATTGAACGTCACCTTCTTGGGCACGCAGCCGACGTTGACGCACGTGCCGCCGAGGCGGGCGCCCTCGATGACGGTGGCCTTGACGCCAAACTTGCTGCTGGCCATGCGCGCCGACGCGAGGCCGCCGCTGCCGCCGCCAATGACCAGGTAGTCGGTCTCCTTGGAGATGGGCGCCATGGTGCGGGCAGACGAGGAGAGCTGCCGGGAGAGGGAGGCGAGGCGAGAGGACGGGGATGAGGGCAGAAGCGAGCGAGATGTTGAAGCTCGAGCCAGCGACGCAAAGGGCCGCATGCGGGTGGTCACGACAGTGGAGGGAGAAGGCGACGTGGACGAAAACGAAGCAAAAGGTCGCCGGCTGGTCGTAAACAATTGCTTTGCGCTGGTACTGGTGCTGGTGCTGGTGCTTATGCGGGTGCCCGAGGCGAACTTATAAAAGCGCTGCGCTGCACAAACGGACGCTGACGACATCTGCGATGGTGGGGTCGCCTTAGCTGGGCCTTTATACGTGCGAGCTCGTGTTGCGCCAGTTGGCGCTTGTATTTCTAATCTGGAAGGCGGGATCGAGCAAAACGACAGGCCGAAGCCAAATCGAAGGCCAAGGAAGCTACGCTCGTGGGCAATTGGCAAGCGAGGAAGGAACGGCCGAGGCCGTACTACTTGGAGCGCAGCCCTCAGTCAACTGATTTGGAATGAATCGTCCGTCTGCCGACGCCCTGTTGTTGTCAATGGCGGGTCAATTGGCGAGTGTGTACCAGAAATTTCAAATACGCAAAATGCCTACTCTTTGGTCGGCGCCGATGTTGGGGCGTCCGCTGTTCGCCGAACTCAACCGAATGGCTTTGTCATCTGGTCGATCCCGCTGTATTGAGTGCATTTTAGCTCTCGAACGGAAACGCCGAGACACTAACGTGCCTGTAAAAGCCTATCTGGGGGCTATTTGGAACCTTTCTAATGTGACGTCAAGTCGAAGTACAGCAGTGCAGTGTCGACGATACAACAACGTGAACATCACGAGGCCACTGCGTGGTATTTGGAATGGTCGATCTCGATAAACCGGCCGAGTCCTGTACCCATCGCGATCGTCGGTTGACAGTTGGACGGGATCTATCCAGAGGCCGATGCAGGAAACAACTGTGTTCTTCTATTATTTGAACCTGATTTAAAGAGCTTTATTAGAATATTTACTCTCTGATTCTATAACTGTGTTTATTTTGTTCCATATTTCGTAATTTGGTTGGTCATATTATACGATCTCTTTATCTCATTATTTGTGGATATTTTTATTTATTATTATAGTTTTTTTTTAAAAAAAAATATAACGAAAATACCATATTTGCACTCCAATTCAATAGCAAAATAAAAAGTCAATATAGAAGAGAATATTCATATGTTGTCATGTGCTTAGGCCGTGTTATTCATATCCTGTTGGTTTTTCGAACAAAAGTGAAGCACAATTCGGTGTTTGCTGGTCGCCCCGGATCTGCCTTCTGTCAAGGACTAGCTCGCCAACATGCAACTAACAAACCAACACCACATTAATTCCTACCTGGCTGCGACAAAGACCGCCATCGTTGCCTGCCACCCAACACGCCACAGCTCATGGCTTCGTTGAGCCGGGGCAGGAGGCCGATGCAGGCGCTGTTTCCGCCAATTTGCGCCTTTCGCGACGCGTCGTTGGCCGTGACGCGATGTTCGCGCATCGCTCCGCCACCGTCTGCAAGGCAATGCTTCGTAACGACAGCCAAGGCCAAGGAGAAGCGTGCTCCCACGAAGAAGGTCAAGCAGACCACAGAGCCACATGATGACACAGCCGCCCAAGACCCGCACCTGCCACCGCTCAGCCTGACGGCGCTCCGCGACCTGGCCGTTCTGTGCGGCCGCAACTCATCTGGAACACGCGCGGTCTTGCGCGCCGACCTGGAAGCCGCGATAAACGAAGCGATGCCGGCACAGAAAAGAGAGACAGCACCGCCGCAGCCCCGCCGCATCCTCTCCATTGACATGGGCGTGCGCAACCTCGCGTATTGTCTGCTGCATGTCGCGGCGCCGGTGCCCGGCCAAGACCACCGTGCCCGGCCCACGCTCGTGGCATGGGAGCGTCTGTCCCTGATTGGCGCTGGCGACAACACGGAAGCGGGAGACAGCACGACTGTCGTAAGTACCTCTGCCTTTTCGTCGCCCGTTCTCGCCGCTGCGGCCGCGCGCCTCGTGCGCGACCGGCTGCTGCCCTTGTCGCCGACGCACGTGCTCATTGAGCGTCAGCGGTTCCGGTCGGGCGGCGCGGCGGCCGTGCTCGAGTGGACGGTGCGGGTGAACTCGCTGGAGGCGATGCTGCACGGCATCTTTGCGTACCGGCAGCTGGGGCGGCGGTCGACGGCTGAAAACACGGTCCAGGCTGTGCAGGCCGTCAGCCCACAGCGAGCATCGCGGTTTCTCTTACAGGGCGGCATGGGCGGCAGCAGCGTCTCGCCGCCGCCACCATCCACGAGAAAGACCAAGGAAAAAGACATCAAGGATGTCAAGGAAGCCTTCGTGGCGGGCTTACTCCGCACACCAGGTCCTACTCTCGCATACGACGAGAGCATTGGTGGCATGGTAGATGCGTACCTTGTACGGTGGGATGCAAAGCAGAGTCGTGGTCGTGGCCGATCCAAAGACGCGACGAACAAGGCGGAAGACGACACACCAAAGTCCCCCCCTACGCTTACGTCTACCAAACAACCAGCACTCAGCAAGATTGACGACCTGGCCGACTGCGTGGCCCAAGGACTCATCTGGCTCGAGTGGGAGGCCAACAAGACCACTCTCCGAGAAAAGGGAGCGGAGGCGTTGCTGGCTGTGAAGCAACTGGCAGGATGACAAGGAGCACCTTGTAACATTGCGACACCACGCCAAACGTTCAACCGTCAATGTCGTCGCATTCGTCTACCTGGCTAAACACTGCGCCCGACGCCCACGCCTCCTCGCCCAGCTGCTTTCTCTTTTGCGCCTTGAGAGCCTTGGCATCGGTATGCCAGTCGCAGGCATAACGGCATGCCGCCCCATGCGCAAAACCAAAGTACGCACACACGGCTGCATGGCGGCACCCGTCCGTATCCTCGCAGTACTCGACCAACCGCTTCAAGCTCGCTCGCCGGGCGGCGTGGTGCTTGC